CATGATCACCCTCAGTTGTATCTGAGCGCAGAGACTACCTGGGAGTAAGAATCAGCACTGAAGCACAAGAACCCAAGAAGAGATTGTACCTGCCGGCGAGCATCGTGCAAGAGCCATCTACAACTCGCGTTCCTGCATCTCTGAATACAACAATAGCAAAGCCAGGACCAAGTAACGGCCCCTGATCGAGCGAAAACTGAATACTACGCGCGTTGCTTCGTCAGGCAGCCCCGTCTTGCCGCACCACGACATGCAGCTCGCTCAGACGAGGACGCTAGATGTGAGAGACCGGAGCATTTGTTCGGTATTGTCCGTTGACAACGGGCGGCCTTGTTGGTGATCCCTTGGCCGGAGAGCCCGCCGGCTGGGGTAGGGGAGGGGGGCGTGTATCAACCTGTCGGCCATTTGGTGCCAGCAGTCACAGCGGGAAAAACAGCCATTGAGCATCTGGGCCGTCCCGTGTCGCCGTTCTAGGTAGTAGCTGCTTGGGAAGTGTTGCACGGCGTCTGGTTCCTCCTCTCATTTCGTCCCGCCCCTCCCATCCTCTGGGATGTGCAGACAAGGACTCTCTAACGCTGCCGCCGGTGGTGGCAGTAAGTGGTGGTAGGTGGTGATTTTCGCTTATGAGCCTGAGACCGCCTCCCGAGGGGATCGCAGAAACAGATGCGGGCAAAAACCTCGATCGCCATCTCCCCTGTCGGTCTCCCACGATCGTAGACTCTGACGGCAGCGCCCCCGCCCTTCGGGGAGATCTGTTGCTGCAGCCGCGTGTGATGCTATGCCAGGATGCTGCGGGAAAAGAGGAGGGGGGGTGTGGCCGTCCAGGGCGTGGAGGTCGGTCGCGCGAAGCAGCAAATCGGAGCGGCTCGTACCATGCATTTCAGCACAACGACCCGGCACTAGATATGAAAACGAGAAAGTCTGTATGCAGGGCTGTAGCCCGGTCAGCGTTGGAGCGGCGATGGGCTCGTTGGAACAGAAAAACTGACAAGCCGGTACAGTAGGTAGTATTACTGTAGTCTGTTTGCGTTGGAGGCGTCGTCAGGGACCAGGGCAATAGCCAAGGGCACTGCCTTGATAGAGAGCCATGGGGCTTCAGTTGAGGAGCGGGGGAGGAGGGCGGGACGAGAAGCCAAGAACAGAGCCTGAATCGCCAGGTTTGGAGCCCATGTTGAGACAGGCTCAGCTGCTTGGCTGCCTCTGCTGATTTGACGGAGGAGGAAGATGCTATTGTGCGTGTTTGTCTGAGGCTGATTACGAAGTAGGTACTGCCTGGAGGCCATTGATGACTGAGGTTGGTTTGATGTCCTCGGGGGACCAAAGATTCACCGGTCCCGAACGTCACCCAAGGTATACGACTGATTGTACACACCTCCAGCTTGCATGTGCATACCTGCAATCCCGTGAAACTGCACGCCATGTTTCATCGGGCAAGCCGTGATATGATACTATCTATTACCCTCAATAGGAGTGTTGGTAAGATCAATGCCAGGCATGTACCTCGTATACCAGCCCAGAATGGGCAACAATGGAGATGCTCACCTCTCAGCAATTGTGATGTATAATCTTTCCCTCCTATCTGAGGTCAGGAGCTGAAGAGCTGCTCGCAAAGCCAGCTGTATACGGTAGGCTGATTCCAACCTCCCGGGAGCAGGTTCTCGCCTCCATGTAGATTGCAAGGTTCGCCATCTTCAGCTCCGGGGAGGCTAAAACGACTGCATCTCGCCATAATAAGGAGTAAGCCAGTCGGCAATCCGCGGGCCCAAACAAAAAAAGAGCACGAAGGAGTTGTCTCTTTCCAGAAACGGGGCGCATAGATGAGGCAACATGACAGGTCTCTTTCCCGCGATCTTCCAGCCCTGATCAAATCTGGCCGCCCGTCTAAATGTATGCATGTATGTAGTATCCAACTTGTACTGGGGTTAGTATGTTGATACGAAGCTAGGGCAGATAGATGAAACCTGCTTGATGCTGGACATTTCGATGCACCTGGTCTGTAATATCGAGCGCCGTCAGCATTGCTGCCCAAGTGCTACTCTACCCATATAGGCACTTCATGCCGATATGCTACTGCGTATATGCCGTACCCTGTAGCGAGACTCATAATGGCATCTGCTTGGGCAGGCATGAGACCGACAACTGGACGCAAGCAAAAACTGGCTTCTCAGGTGACCCAATTTCATGCGCAGCAAGAACCGAGCTGTGGCTGTTCCATACTGGGGGCTGGCCGCCGACTCCCCTGCTCCTCGCCTGGGTTCGGTCAAAGCATCCTACCTAACAAACATCTACCTTAATGTATTATAAAGCCGCAGAAAAGGCACACGCTTCAACGCTTCAAAGCTTCGTACCACTAGCTGTACACCCACGGAGTACGGACCGCGTTTTGTTCAGCCTACCTCCGCGGCGTCCGTCGGCAGTCGCCGTAAATTTCACCCCCTCCCTCTGCCTAGCATTGTTTTCTCTTTCTCAACGACTGAAAGGAGAATTTCGGTCGCCAGGGTTGGTCGGCGTAGGATCTGGTCCCAAAGGTAGCAATGATGCGCCTGCAGCCTGCAGCCTCCCCCAAGGTTGTTGTTCAGGAACCGGGAGCAGTGCCTGTAGATCTTTGGGTGATACCAAGTTTTTCGATGCCCACTCTCTTGTGTCACCATGATGCCCGTCGACATCATTGACGGTTATTGCACATGTCTGTACAATCATCAAGGTCCAAGTTCTGGGGCTGGCCGCATCAAAGGTCGCAGCCTACAACCAAGTTACACCAACAGGGTATTTACTTTGTCACTGTCTCTGACCATATTCCACTGCCTCCACCGACGTACACACAAACATACCCAAAGTCTCGGGACCAGTTCATCTATATCTCTCACAAACCCCTCTTCTTCACAACATCACTGAAAAGTGCCGCCATCCATGCAGAAATGCTACCCTGCTTCCAAAGCACAAGTGCCTAAGGCACATACATACCGGAATGCTACTGTAATACTTCCTAGGTGCTCCCCTAGGCCTTGCCCTGTCCCTGGCATGCCCAGTCTCCTCAGTCGTGCATATCGTCTGTCAATTCTCATCTTTCTCCGGAGCTTCCTTGTGCCCAGGCTCTCTTGTGAGCCCCGGAGACTTGGTCCACCCCTGGCTGGATGCAAATCCTTGAAAACCCGTGGTAATGATAGCTGTAATCGACTGGAGCCAAGCAACTCAACTCTTCAACAACGTCTCGTTGTGACATTCTGCTTGGATCCTGGCAAATGATCCACGTCATCTTCGGCTGAGGAATCAAAATGCACTGGTAATGATGCCTCGTGATTCAGCAAGCGCTGCATCAGATTGGTAGCCGGAGAGCCATGTCAATACGAAAATGACCTACCAAACGGGAGCGCTAAGGTACCCGGACGGATTGGCCCTTTGGGCGATAACTGTAGCTGAACATCCCCCGCGTTGTGCCTCGTTTTAGCGGCTCGCTTACAGCGGCTCCAGCGACATCCGAGACAGAATCGCAACCGTCATTCAAAGGAATTGGTTCCATGGGCAGAATCTTCGTTCGCATCTCCCCTGTTCAATTTCCACCGTGATTGGAACCCCGACCTGGCAAACATTTCCGTCAGATATAATCGTCCTATCATGTTCTTCACACACAGCCCGCTAGCGGCTATCATAGGCTGTAAAGTCCAACGATCACGATCGTAGAGGCTGCCTGACTTGTGCGTGAGGCTGGCCAAACAGACGCCTGCGGGATTGTGCGCATACATACCTGTACTGTGCAAGCACTGCAGCCGCATCCTTCGGTTGCGCCTATGACAGTTCAGATTGATGAGGATGCCACACCGGCTGCCTGCAAGCTCGTATACAATGGCAGCCCCCTTCTTTGCTTTGCCAATCCTTGCTGAACGCAGCAGCAACTCGCAGCCATAGGAGCTGGGGGGGGGGGGGGGGCGGTCTGCCTGCAATGTCCACGCTGCTTGACGTTCTTGACAACCTGGAACCCCATGTACCGTATATATTCGTACTGATCAAACCCTCCCTCTGACGTATGTACCGTAGAAGCAGACACGTGCCTAGGATTCGAGTACTGTGGTGAATGCATGTAGTTGGAGTTGTAGTTGGCCTAACCTCCTGAACTAAGGAACCGGTTTGCGGCAAGTGGCTCACCGGATGCTAGATGCTCGTCTCCCCGGTGGTGATGCGCGAACCTAAACCGCCCTTGGAAAAGCACCGTTTGTCCCATAACCCTTTGTGGTAAAGACCTTGATCTCCTTCTCGGATCAAGCAATAGCCGTGGCACCCTGTTCTTGGTTCGGTTGCCATTGACCCGACGATACGGCTCGCTGTTGGTCGCTCGTAACAAGAAGAAATTACCTTGTGGCCTGTGTCGTATATTCTTCATAAGGTATGGTAGTTGAGGCACATATTCGAAGCCATGGCGCCTTTCAGAGCTTTGAAAAAAGAGAGGACCATCAGTAAAGGCTCCACCGAGTCCCGTAGACTTCAGGTGGGCGAAATGGTTTGGCCGCGTGCAACATTATGATAATGAGACGCATATACGGGATAGAACTACTTCCTCGCACACGTGTATCAGTAGGTGGTTGATGAATACACGTAAGAAGCGAATCAGTGACTGTGAAAAAAAAAAAAAAAAAAAAAAAAAAGACTCTGTCTCCATGTCTGGTGCGCCGGCGCGAGACTGAATGCTGTGTGTGTGTGCCGCCTACACGTAACCAATGTGAGACAGCCTCACTCTGTGCGGGAATTGCAGCCAACTAAGAAACAGCCAGTGACGGGCGGTTAGATCGGTCTAATCTTTGCGTCAGTTTTTGTTAGGCCAAATGGAGGATAAGGCAAAGCGAGAGACCAACATACGTCTCCGTACGCCCACACACACAGACACACAAACACACAAGCCAAAGCAAGGAAGTGGAAATCGGCTCAATGACCGCTTGAAATGACCGGATCGAGCGAACGAGTGCCTGCAATAGCCGATTCACATACGCGGTTCAGCTGTAGGCGACATGTCAAAATCTGCAAGCACACGGCATGAAAGGGCGCTGTGGCTGCGAACTGTTGCACCTGTGAGTCTGCCGTTCGAGTCTGGCCCATTTCCCGAATAGCAACAGGCGTCAAAGCTGGTTCCTATTCGGCAGTTGTTGAGACATGGCCTAGCTTGAGCTCTTCGACCGCACCAGTTCCGTCAGTCTTGCTGCCGAGGGGTAAGTAATGGATAGAAGCTGCCAATAGAGAACGTACTTGGCTCACCAGTCCTGCAAGTGCCCTTCCAGATACGCAGATGCTCGTCACTGGCGTCCACTACCCTGTAAGTATTTGTAGGACAGTAGATAAGCGGTGCGCGTGGTATAATATCAGTAGTAGCACAGAACCAACAAAGACTTGGTGATGCAGTGGGCAGAGATGGGCATCAGAAAACGTAGTCGATGCTATCTCTGTACTAGCAGTGGCTGAAGGGTGCAATGTAAAGACCGCCCAACAGCAGCCAAGCGGGCTCCCAGAGTGACCTGGCGTCTTCGTATGTAATTGGGAGGGGGGCAAGGTTTGTTCATCCTCCAGAATGAGAGCATTGCATACTGCATATGCAGCCTTGATAGCCCTACTGGTTCGGATCTTGGCCGCCGCCCCCGCTTGTTGGCATGGCTGCGTTGTTTTCTTCAATGCGTTACGGGCTGCAATACCGTATTGCTTCACGGGCAGTCGCACATCTGTTGTTGGCAGCCCAATGCTGTCTTCCTCTGCAATACCGGGTCAGGGAGTACATTGAGCAAATCCTCTGTCATCGAATGAAAGGCAATCTTGCCAGGGGCCACTAAAGTCGAACAAATGGGTCTTTCCAGCCTGGAAGCTGCGGCGAGAGAAGAACAAAGACGTCTGGCAGCCCTAGTCCCTGCTGATGGTACAGGGCCGGGTGATTCAGGTGAGAATATCTCTGTGCACGTGCGTAGGTAGTACGGCAGGCGTTGGTTGCCATCAATTGACATCGTCAGCGCGTTGGTACGAATGGAGGTAATTGATAGCTTTGACCGTAACGGCGACTTCGGTGTAAACTTGCCAACGCAATAACCCAAGGAACGACCAACGGCTCATGACTAGCTAGCCGTTGCAGTCTCATATTTGTCAAGCATAGCTGCAGCTGCGGAGGTGGAGAGTATTGTGTGTATTGGTGTTTGCATCAAGAAACGCCCTTTGCTCCAGCCAAGAGCACACACAGCCTCTCATGAAGTCTTGGTGTGACTTATTTCATGTAATCTCGATTGCCGGCTTCGTTGGGCTCAATGTGGTATTTTGCAGGCCTGGAAGATTATCGTCATCTCCGCCGCTGATGCTGGTAAAGAGTGTGACTTCACCATGCATGGAGTCGGTAGGCAGGTAATTGTACGCCGTCTGCTGAACAACAAGACGTACTGTCTGTCCCTGGAGAGAAGGAGGTGGCATGCAATCAGTGGCCTTCCCTGGTGCCGGGGGAAAAACCGCAAGGGGTTCTTGACTACCAAACCGACAGCGGACTGGCACGAAACGACGAGTGCTGAGTTTGCGCTCTGGCCTGGCCGCTTGGCCGCATCTCTTCTCTTGAATATCGCCACCTACACATCGTCCACTGTCCTGAACAAATGTGCCGAGCATGCTTCGTTTTACCGATATACAGAGCTCGGATGGTCGCCCCTCAGGGAAGGCGAATTGCCATAGGCGCTCCGTGAACCGTGCTTGACAATGTTCGGCTTACTTTGGGCGGGTACCTCAGGCGGGTAATGGAAGAACACGGTTCGTTTCCCTGTGTCAGCCGGTGACTTGCGGCCGAGAGGAGTACGCCGAAGACCTTGGTGTCGCTATGGCAGGTGTTCCTCGGCAACCTTGCGAGTTGGCTGCTCTCAACACGGTGAGGCCGTCTGCCAACCCCCCTTTGTGCCATTGCCACTGATGCAATTGGTGGAAGGCATGCACAGTATGCCTCTCTTTTCAGGCTCTTTTTCTGGGACAAACAGCAAACCGTAAGCGGAGAGGATCCTCGCAACAATCGAGCAGGTGTAGCCGCAAGTTTTCTTCATTTTTCTTTCTCCGAGGTCAGACAAGATGAGAAAGGGGTACTCCCTTGCTGTTCAGTGTATCATAGCCATGAAGCCGCTCTGTGGTTGGGCTCTCGAAGCGCTCCTCAAAGTAACACATCACGCATGCGTGGATGAAGCTGATATTTTCAGGACCGACAACAGTTCTTGCCGCACACGGTGCGGGCGAGCGGAGTATTGGCGCGAGTACAAAGTCCGTACTGACAGGTTCTCTCCCTCTTCCTCTCTTGGGCGCCCACCCTTGATCCGGAGACGCACGTCTCGTGACTTGGCTGGCCAACCGGGTGCAATCCCCTGGCTAGGATCTCTGCATCCATGTCAGAGACATATCCCTGGTGATGAGTGATGCTCACAGACGGATCGAGTCCCAAGAACTCGGATCCCCTGCCTATCCCCTGCTCTGCTGGTCACCACTGTTTTGTGCAGCTAGCCTGTGATTGTGTGTGCCGCATAAAGCGACGCGTTGAATTGTGTACGTAGTCATTGGCACTGAGTAAGGCACCGGTGCCTCGTAGAAGCCTCCCTGCGTGAGTAATATAAGGGATACTACTAGTATCAATGTGAAATTATGGCGACGCATTTCTATTTATAGTCAGTATGCCGCACGGCAATTCGCAGCATGAGGGATACGGGAGGTTGTATTTCGTGCTTGAACGGAGCACGGGGTAAGAGTGGCATCCACCAGCTGGGACACGGCCAGCCAATACACGTCCAAGCATGCCGACGGTGACGAAAGGTGACGAGGCCTTTTCTTTGATACCGAAATGACGGTGGACATGTTGCGCATTGCAGACCGCACGGATGACTGCTATCGAAGGACCAAGGAAAGATAAGGTAGGTGGTGCGTAGGCAGATGATGGCAGAAACCCAGCCGTTACCCTGCTGAGGTCGGTTACTAGGTACTACTTACCGGATCGCCGCTGGAGAGAGCAGGGTAACTCGTCTGAGGGCTCGCGCGAACGCTCACATATCGACGCTGAGACGGTCATTGATGCGCACGTTCAACGCGAAACGCGGAGAAGGCAACGAAAGGGCGTCTACGGTCCTCCAGACTCGTTGGAGCTAGGTATGTATTACCTGGGCGTGTGCTGTGCAAGTTTGGTCAAGTGAAAGAGGGGAGGCGTGAAGGAGAGTGAGAGAACAAGCCTAGCCTCAAAGTGGCAATCATGATGCACGCCTCGCCTCGACGAATCAGCATCTGTCAATTATTACCCAATTCGGTTGCGAGGTTGCTCTCGGTCCAGCTGGCTGGTGTGCTCTTGCCCTGAGTCCGGCTGGGCAACCCCAGCTTCGATGTAACCTCTCCGTGCCTCGAGGTACAGTACAGACACTTGCCGAACACCAACTCGCGCTTTGTTATCAGGCAGGTACCTACCTAGGTACGGTAGTACTCCAGGGCTAGTAGGTAGGTAGGTACGGGTGAGAAACCCCCTTCCAGAGCATGTCCAAGTTTGACGACATCCGTTGGTCTTTGGGGATAGGTAGTAGGTAATCAACGACAATGCCTACCCAGCCAGCACTTGCAGGGGCGCCGCCCTTTTCCGTCAATGCATACTATATAAATATATACCTAAGGTACCTGCCTACCTGGGGACTTTACGCCCAAATGGGCCTCCAGAATGTGCGAGATGAAGCGTCGCTCGAGGAACGAACGGGTAAGGGGAAATAGGGATCCACCATCTGAGACCGTCCCGGAGCGGCATGACTGCACCGCCGACCGGCCAGGGCTCATGGGAGAGAAGGCGAGCATGGTTGAACAACTAATACTAGGTAGGTACTTGGGTGCAGAGCTCAGGGTTCGGTCCATGCAAGATGTTAGAACTTGATAGTGGCCGATACCTTAGGTAGTGCCTCTAGATTGGCATGATAATTAGTACTGCCATAAACTACCTAGCATTTCGTGTCGTCCGGTAGCTGCGTCTCTGTCCCCTGGCCTAGAGTGAAGCTTACTGCCATTCCCGTCCTGATTGTTGCACACGGCCTTGTCTGAGCGGTAGCCGGGCTGGGAACTTGCCGTGACGGGACACTAGCAGGCGATCACAGGCTCCGCCTTTAGGGCCGCAGCGTGTAAGGCGTATCTTGTGTGTCCTACCTTGCGCTTCGTAGGAAGTACGGGCTTTAACTTACGGGAAGGAAAGGAGATTCCGTCTGCTGCCACTATGATAGAGCTGGAATTTTACCAGGTAGAATCAACGCTTGGAGCGTAGTCGACAGACGCCTCCAAAGAGCGGTAAACAGCTGTGGTCCTCGGTATATCTGTATCGGCCCTCCAAGACCAAGTCCGTAACAAAAGTGTGTTAGCATGTAAGAAAGGATTCGTGACGATCTGGGTCATGATCCTACACCAAGAATTTATCGCTATACTAAGCATGAACCTGCTGTGCTGCCACCAGGGCACTTTACAGGTCTCGTCGACGAGCTGTTCGATGGCGCAGTTGCTTGCGTAAGTGCCTGTACGACACTGGTGAGGAACGTACCAATGAGGTCTTCATATGCAACCTTGTGGTTTGTGTTGTTCTTTCTTTCGGACTGAGACCTTGTATCAACATCGGAGGGTCTGTAGCTATTACCTTATGATACACATGTTTACTCAGGCCTGATGTTTCACGGCAGTGTGTTATGGGGCATACACCTTTCCTACTGGGTACCTGGTACTCGTAGTAGTTTAGTACCTTTGGCACTCGTGTTGATGGGTACAGGTACCACTTGCCCAAACGACCAATTGCTCTGCAATAGCAGACGGCAGGTGTTCTTGCTTACCGAGGACACGCACTTTGTCACGACCGCCCTTTTTCTCCGTTTGTACACCCTACGCAAAGTACCAAGGCACTGTAGAACCCCTAGAATCAGGCTGTCATCAGTAACCGGGACTGGGGCAGGGGCCCCTTGGCTTCCCGAAATGGCAAGAATGGCCCCTCGCAGCACCTCCAGTTCACCAGTCCACCGCCTCCAGTTGCAGTTCTCCTTCGCACCTTCTACTTGTACGAGTAGGTACATACCTACCCACGTACCTTCCCATTGCACACCTGTATGTACTACGACAACGCCCAGGCGTTCCTACTGCAGAAGCATACAAAAATCTCAACTGCATCTTCTAAGGTATCATTGAATGGTGCACCCCTCACAAGCCACTGGGGACACGCCGGTACTCCCCACTGGTCATTTCCAAGATCCTGGCAGGCCGACACCTTGGAAGCTCCGAGTCCCTGTCGGTCAAATGGCTCTCCTCTTCATCCCACTGCATGCTCTAAGCCGAGGCGGCGTCACCTTCTGTCCAGAGGTCCTGCGGCTCGACGAACAGCATGCTGCGACAATGGATACGCCAACAGCTGCAGTGAATCCATCAAACAAGAGGCGATACGGGACTGTGGACTAGAAGAGGGGGGCAACCGCATATCTGATCATTCTTGGGACCTGATGCCTCCGCGCTGCTGCAACACAGCACTCGACTGGTCACTCGAGCTTCTTGCTCTCTCCAAACCCCACGGCACCCGTGGCATCGTCAAGCCGGACCCAGGAATACTTGACAATTCACACCCATCCTTTTTCTCCATTCGCTCTCCCTCCTCTCCTGGTGGCAACGATTGACCAGAACACACATCGCATGCAGCAAGACTACGGCCCCAGTGGCCAACTAGGCTCGACATATGTCTCGGCTTTGAGAGAAGCGACGGACTATTGCATCCGGCCAGCTGTTCTTCTTCAGACATACATGCGACTATCGCTGTATCCGAAGCCCAATGCGCCATCAGCATGTACGAGAGGCGCTGATGTGCGTGCGAAGACCAGAGTCTGCTCCAACATGCTCCTCCACGGAGTACTTACATACATGCAGGCTTAGATGGGAGGCCGTGGCTTGGCCCCGAGCCTGACTGCTGGGAATCTCAAGCGTCAGTGGATACCCTCATATGAAGCGCTTCGAACGCAGGTCACGTTGCTGCGGACAGCTCCATCTCTTTGGTCCGATGCGAGGGTGGTTGCCAGCGATGCCTTGCTATCCTGGACCTGGTTGGCAAGGAGGCAAAAAGCCCTGTGAGGAGGAGCCATCGACCCTGGTACGCAAAACATAGCCTCCTTCTTTTCTCTTGCTTTACAAGCCCCCCGTTAGTCTATCATCTGTCGTCTGTCATCTCTTGCTGCTCTCTGTTACGGAATGATGGCCAGGTACCGGCGTCGCCTGGCTTCTCCAGCTACCCAAGGGACCTAGTCGTCAAAAATCGCCCTCTCGTGTACCTCGTACCCCATGCCAATCCTGTTGTCCCCCTGTCCCTGTCAAGCCCCTTCCCGCCAACCTTCACATATCAATCCTTCAGCTAATACCGGGGGAGAGTGTTTTAGCTCCCATTCAGAAGGGGGGTGTGAGGAGCTAGCTACAGATGCTCTCTTGACTAACCATCCTCCCAGTGCAAAACTCTCACCCCAGATATACCACCGGTACTTGTATGGCCCGTCCTCTCAGGCAGAAACCACCTTTCAAGTGTTGTACCTACTTTTCGTCTCTGCAGCTTTACTTTAGCCTTCCCTTTCCGCTTTTCCCTTGTAACCCGTGCATCCTCCGTGCCTGGCTGGCGTTTTGCCCACATCCCAGAGGCCGGGCCCCAGTCACATCTCGAATGGCTAGTATTAGCAACCCAAGATCTCCGACTCTCAGTCCCAGGCGGTTGGGCGTCCATACAACCCCAGCATCCATCGACCTGGTATATTGCCTCTCATGCCAAGTATACACCATAGCACTCTCCCAAGATCTTCCCATCCCGGGCCCCAGTATATAACCCCCTCCATCACCGCCTTCCAGAAGGCGGTCCCTTCTCCTATCTGCGTGCCAGAGGCCCTCGTTCAACCTTGAGTATTTGTTTATTTGCATCGGCTATGATCAGTCGCTAAAAAAAAAAGGAGATTCTCATTCATATCTACCGTTTTATCAAGTGCTTTACCCTTTCTTCAACACTTGTGCCTCCAGTCACAGCAAGATTTCTTCGAGTCCGTCAGCCTTGGGTTCAGAGACTATGGCCCTCGCAGCTCAACAGCATACTCAGGCCGATTGGGGCCGCTGGTCTCACCAGATTCCACAGAGTTTTCCCATGATGGGCTCTCCAGGATTCATGTCATACGATCCCAGAGCTCAGGACGGCAGTCAGATGCAGCGTCAGGTGTCTGCTCAGTACCTGGTGAACTCGAACTACAACCAGCCCCCGATGCCCACTGCTTCGTCTCCCCAGTATCAACACGCAGGGCCATTTTCCTATGTGCCTTACCACAGCCCGCCGCCGTCCACTCCTCTTGGTTCCCCATTCAAGAGCGAATTTCCCGAGCACCCTCTTACGCGCATGACACACTCTACGGTCGATCGACACCATTCTCAGGCCATGAGGGACTACCAACCTTATTCTCCTGTATCGAGGAGGGGATCGATTTCTTCAGTCGCCACCAAGCCCTCAGCAGCTCCCGTCACACCAGGTCCAACTACTCCTGGCTCTTTCACTTCAAGTTCCGACGCCCAGAGCCCCAGCACTCCAAACCCCCAGACTGCGTCTCAGCCTGTCAGCTCCAAGACTCTCACTTACAATGAGACCGTTCATCCGGGCGATAGGATCAGCTTCAGAACCGATGTTGATGAACTCATGAAGGCCATCCAGAAGACACAGACGACCGACGAGTGTCAGCAAACACTCACACCTGCGCGAACACCAAAGAACTGTACCACAAGTACTCCCGTACTTCGTACACAAAGCGGGAAGCCGAGAAAACAGTGGGTTTGCGATGGCCCCAACTGCGGCAAGGCCTTTGTCCAGAAGACGCATCGCGACATTCACCGACGCACTCACACCGGCCATCGACCATACGTACGCGCCCAGCTCCTCTTCACTGCAACGCCGGCTAATTAAATGTTGATAGGTCTGCACCATGGAAAATTGCGGTCTTACGTTCTCGCAGCGAGGAAACCTCAAGGTAAGCTTCAGCTGCTAAGAATCTCCTTTGAGAATGCGTATACTGACCAGATGGTGTGTGGACAGACTCACATACGACGCCACACAGGTGAAAAGCCGTTCTCTTGCGCTGCTTGTGGCAAGTGCTTCGCTCAGCGTGGGAATCTTCGATCCCACGAGGAGACACACAAAGGCCTGAAGCCCTTCGTCTGCCGGCTCGATGATTGCAACAAGTCGTTTTCTCAGCTGGGCAATATGAAGGTATGCAACATCTAGCACATGAAAGCAGTATGAGAACGCTCTAACGCTGAGGGAACTGCAGACTCATCAGAACAACTTTCACAAAGAAACGCTCCAGAAACTCACACACATGTTTGTGCAATTCTCGGAGAACGGCGAGGTGCCCAGAGACTATCAGGATCTTTTCGAATACTTCCAGAAGCACTACAAGAATAGCAACAAGGGAGTCAAGGGCCGAGGAAAGACTCGCGCTGTGGCAGCTCGTGGGCCTCAAGATTCCGCGTTTCGGCAGGCTGCCTCCCCAGTGCCCGCGTTACTGAAGACGCCGGCTACGACTCATTTGCCCCAGATGACAATGCCAGCCCATGATCCCCATGGCAGAATCTCACCATACGCCATGACCCAGGGAGCTGCGAACACTCTGAGCAATGTCCTGCGCAACCCCAACCCCTCTTACGGCCTTTATGGACCCACGTTTGCCCCGGGCCCTGTACGAGATGGCGTCTTTCACATGGGCATTGCGAGCCACCTATCCTGAGCGTCATCGACGGCTTGGCTTCTCCATTGGTATTACGATGCGTCCAGGATGCAAAAGCTTCACGAACCCGACGACTTCAAGGGTCGGGACGCTCAAAACACAGTATTCGTACACGGACACGAAAACGAAAGTCGAGATCACACCTTCCGAAAGGGACACAACATGGCTTTGCCATCAGAAGAAGAAGAGAAAGGGGAAAGAAGTACACGACGTATGTAACTTGGGCGGTTTATTCTGATTCGATCATCTGCTGTGATCGAGTTCAAGGCGAACTCGACGCATCGCTTGTAAAAGATGGGTGAGGTGTTTTTGTCGGAGGGAGCACTGTTTTTTTGTTCATCGTTCCAAAGGAGGCAATTTGTGTTTATTCCTATTTCATTTGTTTGGGTATCTGCTACAATATCTGGGTGCGGTCGTCTGTTTGTCTTCTGTTTGGTATCTTTATATGTAACCAGCGTGTATTATGGGTGGTTTGTTCGTTTTTGAAGTACTTGGTACGATTTGTATGCGTTACCTCACACCAAGAATGTTTACATAGAAGGAACCAAGGGCTGACAGCGTTTGGCATCAAAGCGCAAGTGCCTTTCTTCGCCCTTGTGCTTGGAGAATAGAAGACAAGCAATCGCTTGCTTTACTCGACCTTACCACTTCCTTGCCAGTTTGTGATGACGGCTTTCCCTTGCTGCTTCGACATCATCAGGGATGATACGGTACATGTCAACGCCGGGTTTTGAGCGAATGGCATTGCAGCGCTTATATCTCCAGAGCTAGGGGAGGCGTGGGATGCCACAGGGAAGCTGTCCCGGTGGTTCCTAGTCTAGGTAGGTAGGTATTTTTCTAATCGACAGGATGAGGCAACACGCCCATGTAGGCATTCATCATGACAGAGAGGAACGATAAAAAAAGGGGGGGTGCGAGTAAGTGGACGGGTTTGGGCAGAGGGGAAGGGGGTTGCATCATCACTTTCAGGGCATGCAGAAGCGTTGTCATCCTGTAATACTGTATGCATGGGAACTTGCTGGAGAAACAAGCCTCCTCGCTTTCCCTGCTTTTCTTTTTCTTTCTTTCTGCGGCAGGTCCTTGCATATCTGGTGTACTATGTATGAGTGGCGATTGGATGATGTACGCCAGGATACCGGGGTGGAAGAGGGGAGGAAGGGAGATGTAACAACAACTTGAAGCGCCCTGCTGTGTCTTCCCTGGCTCTTTCTGGGGTAAAGATTTGCTGTCTTGGAGAAACAGAGCCTCGATTGGTGTTGAAGAACCGCGTCGGGATAGGTCAAGTTCTGATAAGACGCAAGTAGGTACTGACGGCGTTGTCTCCCTGCTTTGCCAGGGAGAGAACAGGCCGCTGAGGTATCGTCACCTTACCACGGATCGTATTTGGCCCATTCATATCGCGTCCCTCGTTCTTGGCGTGGAGGGCTCAAAAATAAGCGGACAGGTTCGGTGTTGGTGTATTGCGAGTCCCAGCAACCCGGATCCAGCTCCCCAGTCAGATTCTTAAAAAGAAACACGGCCGGCACACTTCATCTCAGCCGCAACAAGCTAGGAAGCATTTGCTGTAGTAGTCGGTTAGGAAATTAAATAGAAACGCAGCTACTATACGCCTGCTTGCGCGCCCCGATAGACCAATCTGCGAAGCCGCCCCCTGCTGCTGCTACTTGCTGGGTGCGGGCGCAAACACGGGGAAGAGAGGAGGGCGGGTTGTGCTGGGGGAGCCCTTGAGCGGCTGAAGTTCATGAGAATACTACTATGTAGTAGTAGTACTTGTAGTCCCGAGACTGCCTCCATTCGCTGCATCTGGCGGGGGGGTCGGGGGTCGGGGTTAGAAACTTGGGACGAGGGGATCCAAGGCTTGCACCAGGTTGTTGTGATTGATTTGTGATAGAACGGTTGTAGCAATAACGCAAACAGCAGGGGTGAGAAGCAGGAGGGGAACGCTTCCCACAGTGGTGGGATATGGTGGGATTGATCCATGGGGCGAATTGCTTTCCAATGCTATCTAGTATACCGAGGGTGTGTCACCACACCCAGGCAAGCAAGCAGCCACCCTGTAGTATCAACCGCTCGGTATAGATGCATGGCCATACTTGCAGAAGAAGCGGGTAAACAGATAAGATGAAATCGACGGATATGTGGGGGTTTCGGACCGGGGAAGCAAAAGTTCGACGGAGGCAACAATACTCGTCTGTGAACAACGCGAGGGATGCCATTTGCGTGTGCACGTGTGAACAGGACAGGGAACATGGCTGTAAAATGACCACACCTTGTTGCGTTTGCTGGGTGCTGGATGGACGACTTTCCTCGAATTGCGCTTGCTGGTAGTAGTAGTACTCCATACTTCTCTGGCCCCCAAATAATATTCATTGGCCCCCATGGGTTGATATGGATCAGATGGGTCCAACGTCGTGAAAGAAACAGACTGAATTGGAGAGCAAGGCACAATATCACATCAAGTGGAGTTGGCAGTGTGGATTTCCAACTTCATGCCTCGTATACGGAAGGGGGAGACCTTTCGGAGACCTGGGTCTGGTGGACGAGCTCGACATCGCCGAATAGAGAGCCCAAGGGGAGGGAATATTACACGTCGGAAATCCGGTACAGGCATGCGTCGCAACCGAGTGTCAGCTCTCAATGCCCTGATGCATAGCGCCGTCTGATTCGCACACTCCAGCTTCTTTTTTTTCACCGCTCGATGCTGGCCCATGTGATCCTTCACCTGATATTGCTCTGCAGAATAGAGCTGCATCGAATAAGACGTTGGAAAATGACCGCGAATAACATCATCGAACATCAAGCCTGAGGGCATCGATGACGACTGTATGCATAACTCACCGCCAGAGCCACGTCAACAAGCATTTCGAAAGATGAGCGTCGGTCAGGAGCAAGAGAGACGGCAAAGCAAGTAAGACGGCGTGGGTGTATAGATGTGTATAGATGCGGATTTGTCGTTGAAGCTATCAGATGCGCCGGTGTATGATTCAGGACAGCTTCCCGAACCCGCGGCGAGACAACAACGCTAGCATCCTCGGCCTGAAGAGAAAATCATGCGCGGGATTGGGCATCAACCGGGGGGGGTGTTAGACAAGCGATAGACTGGCAACGGTCGACACCAGAATTCCAATCTCCCATGAGACCTCTGGCTGATCTGCACCCCTCGGGTTTGTGTGTTCGTGACAGCAGCTGGCCTGCAGGAGAGAAAGCCTCGGATCTTGAAACGATTCATGCGAATCTTGGCAGCCACGCCGATGAGCTGCCCACGCGGTATTTCTTTCGAGTCGGCCATCGCCACGATGTAGTTCCGACCATCAGCGCCGCGTATCTCATGCAGGGAGTGTGTGACTTTCTGCTCTTAGATGAGACGACGCTCCATCAAGAGAAATGCAAACACACATCTTGCATGAGCGAGTCAGGATCCAGGGCCCCATGCATGTTGAAAAAGGTCTTAGCCGCCGTGCAGGGTCGATACAAAGAGGATATTGTCGCCGCTCTTCAGCTCATATTCCTCTTCTCCCTCCAGCTCCCAGTCGGCATCGTTGATGAGTACTAGGATACCTGGCCGTCTGTTGGAGTTAGCATCGGTCCGCACACTAGTTGCGATGCAGTGCATGGAAATGGCTGAGCGGATCAAGAAGCGCCGCGGGGAGCCCTTTCCGGTGAGACTAGATGATAGGCTAGGGTTGATGGATACACACACGATACCATCATATGATATCAAACAATACCAAGTGGTATCTCTCAATACCCGGAAGGGAGGGACGGATGTGATACATACAGATGGTCCTGCAGAACAAAGAGTTCCTTGCGGCTGTCTTTCATGACATGCTCGCAGAGGTGATGTATCAGATACGCAATCGTGGAAGGCTTGCCGTCCTGGTCCTTGGCGGGGAGAACGAGGGAGTGGCGGCGCTGGTCCGAGAAGAGCATCTCAAGGCCTCCGCTGGAAACAAGTGCGATGGCACCGGGTTAGCCGCCTCCTGGCTCTTTCATGCTGCCGAATGAATCGTGTGAATGGCGAGACGGGGTAATGGACGGAGAAAATCATCCGCTGGCGAGCAGCAGCATCCACGATGGCGGCGTCAACGCTCAGGTCCAGCTGAAGGGATGGAAAAAGAGAGATGTGACAAGGCGGTGCTTGAGCGCAGATCAAAGGGGGCGTGAGGAGACGAGGAGGGATGCTTACGAGAACTCGACGTCCAGGGTCAAGTGGCCGACGTCGTCTGCAGCGGCTGAGGCCATGGCGATGAGGCGCGATCGAGCGGACGGCGATGGTCTGCGGCGATCGAGAGGCTGGTGATGGTTGTTGCGGAACTGGCGATAGATGGCCCTCGTGGGGTTTGGATCTGATAATGGCGGCAGGGCCGATGGGTAGGCGCGGCTTACCTTATCGGCTGGGGGGCTCTGCTAACTCCAAGCTGTAGCGACTTAAGCGCTGTATCATTAGTAGCAGGATGTCAAGTACCTGCTAATGTCCTCTGATCATTGCCATTGCCTCCCTGCCTTACAACACATTAGATGGGAATTTGCTGTATAATGAGGTTTTACGTGATATCAATCCTCCAAGGTAGAGATCAAACACCATAGAAGCACATTATCAGACCTATTCCATGGAGCAGATGCCAGACAACTTCATGTTATGCCACTCAGCCTTTGCTGTGATACCTCTCAAGTGCCGCCCAAGCGCCAAAAGCCGCTACCAAAAAAAAAAAAAAAAAGTCTGCTCAGAAACTTGCATGTCACACACACAACCTCGTCACGTGAATCCATCTCCTACTCTTCATGAAGCCCAGGACTCTTCCAATATCAGTTTAAACAAGGAAGACTGCAGAGGCATCCTCGTGACATGAGCTCACCAGGTGTGACGGTAGAGCATCTCGCCGCCGGTGCAAATAGACAGACGGCGGTTGCGGACTGGAGCCGGACAGGGCTGCTGGCTTATGGAACGGACTGCAATGTCGCTCTGTGGCGTCCAGCTGTGAGTTATACCGAATTTTTTTGTGATGTTGTTGATGGCTTCATAGAGTACATCTATAAAAATACCTATATAATGCTCATATTCACACACTCACTCCCTTCATATCTCTATGAATCACCGTGTCTAATGTACTTGTGCTATAGGCAAACCCCCCTAGAGGCGTATACAAGCTCCTTAACGGACACAAAGAGACCGTCAAGGCCGTGTCATTCTTGCCAGAGCTTGAAAAAGACTCCTCGACATACTTCATAAGCGGCTCAGATGACAAGACCATAGCCGTCTGGAAGTCTAGCGACGATAAGCAAGACTTCAATCTACTTCAGACCGCATCCCAACACACCGGACCCGTGAACTGCGTTGCCGCCCTGCGAGTTGCTGCTGACCATCCCAAATGGATCGTGGCAACGGGAGCTGCCGATGCAACCATCAGGATCTGGAGTTTCGAAAATGACCAGCTGCGTTTGCTTCAGACCATCAATACAGCGCCGAGATACTTCCCTCTGTCACTCTCACTCAGCACTCTCGGTGCCGATAATGACGCTTATATCCTCGCCTCGGCCGGCACAAGGGATGTCGTTCAGATTCTTACTGCCGAGGCGAGATCGGAAACCCTTCGGTTCAACCTCCAGGCGACGCTCAGCGGTCATGAAGGATGGCTGAGATCCCTCAGCTTCGCCAGGGAAACCAACAGCCCAGACAGCGATCTGCTCCTGGCGTCCGCCAGCCAGGATAAGTACATCAGGATCTGGAGGGTTCACCAGGGCAAAGAACTTCCCGCCCTAGCTGCTGAAGGCTCTGACCCCTCCAGCGGTGCCTTCATGCCGGGCAAATCCCCTTCCAACAAGGCACACTGGCTCAAGGCTTCTGGGAAGGACTTTTCTGTAACCTTTGAGGCCCTGCTGCTGGGCCACGAGGACTGGATCTACAGCGCAAAGTGGCACTCGCAGGCCGATGGCAAGCTGCAGCTGCTCTCTGCTTCTGCAGACAACTCGTTGGCTATCTGGGAAGCCGATCCCAGCTCCGGGATCTGGGTCAGCATGGTGAGGCTCGGCGAGATCAGCAGAGAGAAAGGCGCAACAACGGCAACGGGAAGCACCGGCGGCTTCTGGACCGGCCTCTGGTCTCCTGACGGGAGGTCGGTGGCCTGCCTCGGCCGCACCGGCAGTTGGAGACGGTGGGAGTACGACGTCTCAGAAGATATCTGGAGACCTTGCGTTGCCATCTCCGGCCACACAAAAGCCGTCACCGGCATCTCCTGGTCCAAAGACGGCAGCTTCCTGCTCTCTACGAGCTCAGACCAGACAACTCGGCTTCACATGAAGTGGAAGAGCTCCGGCACATGGCACGAAATGTCCCGCCCTCAGATCCACGGCTACGACCTCAACTGCATCGACTCACTCGGCTCCTCCCAGTTTGTGTCTGGCGCCGACGAGAAGCTCATGAGAGTCTTTAGCGAGCCCAAAGCTGTAGCCGCCATGCTCAGTCGCCTGGGCGGCATCGAGGGGGCCAACCTTGCCGACATGCCCGACGCCGCCAACATGCCGGTCCTCGGCCTCTCGAACAAGGCCATCGACGCCCTGGACGACGACCAGGAGATCCAGCCCATCGATGACCGCGATCGAGACGCCATGGACCCTGCTTCCATTGTCAAGAAGTCATACTTGGACATTGACCACCCGCCGTTTGAGGAAACCCTATCCCGACACACCCTCTGGCCCGAAACGGAGAAGCTCTACGGACACGGCTACGAAATCTCCTGCCTCGCTACTAGCCACGACGGCAAGCTCATCGCCAGCGCCTGCAAGGCCAGCTCCCTCAACCACGCCGTCATCCGCATCTTCGAGACGGACAAATGGACCGAGCTCAGGCCTCCACTGGCAGCGCACACTCTGACGGCAACCCGCCTGCGCTTCTCCTCGGACGACAGGTATCTGCTGAGCGTCGGCCGCGATCGCCAGTGGGCCGTTTTCGAGCGAGGCCTCGACGAGGACGGTGCCGTTCGATATCAGCTGCTGCAGTCCAACGCCAAGGGCCATTCCAGGATGATCCTCGACGCCGCCTGGGCTCCGTCTCCGGTGCCCCTCTTCGCTACGGCAGGTCGAGACAAGCAAGTCAGGATCTGGTCCCTTTCCAAGAAAGACGGCGAGGACGCAGCAAAGACCCAGTTTGTGCAGGTATCCGCCCTGGCTTCTGATGGCCCAGTCACGTCGGTAGACTTCCTGGGCCAGCCCGTGGGCGACAGGTACATTCTCGCAGTTGGCACCGAGAGCGGCCGATTGAACGTGTGTGCTGTGTCCCAAGATGGGTCATCCGTGTCGGAGCTGCCGACGCACCCTGAGTAAGTTCCCTTTTTCGTTATGATGACAATGTTTCCACCCTTGAAAGTCTGCGTGTTCCCAACGCTAACTAAATGGTATGCATAGGCTCCATCTTCCCAAGACGGTGCTTCAACTGGCATGGCGGCCAGTCAAAGACGAGAACGAAAACAAGTATGAGCTTGCCGTGGCAGGAGAGGATAGCTCACTGAGACTGTACGGCTTTGGAGAAGAATATCTCAAGGGAGGGGACCAGCCGTAGAAGCTGCAATAAAGAACTGACAACCCATTAGACCGTGATCGAATGAGACCCATTTCAAGCTTCGTGTCACTCCAAGAAGGCCATTTAGAGGTTGAAAATCTCTTGATATTGGTCTATTATTATATACTAGTAGTATTATCACCATGTTCCATCAGTGTGCCGGCTGTTCCATTATGTTTCCTCGAACTCGAATAATAAGTATACCCAACGCCCAAGAAGAAGGAAAGAAAGAGGCAAAGAGCCACAGAAACAGCTCATATCCGCAAGCGCTTCTTCATGCCGCTTTTTACATCCGCAGTTGAACGATCTGTTTTCGCCAATTCGCAAGCATCGCTAGCGGTCCTTCTTTCTCTCTCTCTCCAAACATTCGTATCCATAACTTCATATTACGCTCCCGCCATCTGTTCTTGATTTCTTTATTCGTTCGTTCGTTCGTTCGTTCGTTCGTTCTCTTCATCTCACAGCTCCCTGACAGCCCCGGCAGCAGCCTTCCCCGTCCCCAGCGCACCGCCAAGGACGTCCCTCGCCGAAGCAGCAACGTCAATCGTCTCGCCGTTGATGTAGTACCACGCTCGGCCGGCGAGAATCGAAATGTGGTGTGGCAGGTAGAGGATGATGGCGATGGACGTCAAGCCAAAGAGCAAAAAGGCAATCGAATCTGTTACGAACATTCAAACTTTCTGTTAGCAAACATACATGCTTCGATGCTTCCGGGTTGGATTGTCGCAGCGGAATGTTTCGGAAATGGTCATTCGACACGGGATTCAGCGTTCCTCTCAAAAGGGGGCCCCAAGAAGCCGCGAGTGCAAATGACAAGACAAGATGAAAGAGAAGCGAGAATTGGGGGGGGGGGGGGGGGGGGGGGGGGGGGGGGGGGACCAGAGGAACGACATACAATACGCAAACTTCTCGATTGGAGAAAACAGATACGTGCCGAACGTCACGTCAATCTGCAGCATCTTCTTGTCCAGCATGTTCTTCAAACTCCGAGACGCCATTTTTTTGCAATCTTTGGTCTTCGTCCTCTGACAAGTGGTCTCGTTTCCTCTCTCTGAGTCCGGTGTATGTCGCAACAGCAAACTGCCAATGTGCGTCAAGTATAGCAATGATTGTCTCGCTTGTCGTTTGGGTATTAGAATCGCGAAAAGGAGCGTCTAGTCGAAGAGTGAGGCCACTGCGTTTAGTTCGGCTTTCGTGGGATGGAGGATGAAAAGGAAGAAAGCGGAAGGCCAATCGAATCGATCCAATTCAAGTCGCTACTACTAGGTATGTACCCAACTCTCAAGGTCCCCCTGGTTTGACCGTTACAGCGCTGTTTACAGCGGTCGCACAGCACACGCCACGCCACGCCAGCGCGCCAGAGTCACTATCGGTAGAGGCCGCTAGCGGTATCAAGCCTCGGCCAATCTTCAAGACCACTCGTTTGGCTCTACTAGGTACTCAGAAGCAATATAGATCATCTCGACAACCTCATCCAGTACAAACGACAACCCGAAGCACCTCACAGCGCACCATGCCCCGCCTCCCACACTCGCTCCTCACAACCTCCATATATCAAGCCATTGCATCATCCACCAGAAGCATACCCAAACTCTCCTTCTTTAGCACTCTTCCCCCCCTCCAGAAGAACCTCCCACCCCGTCCCAAACCCCCACCAGACTCCGAAATCGAAGAATCATACCTTAAAGGCAGCGGCCCCGGCGGCCAAAAGATTGTACGTACAAGATCAACTCCTCCAATCTCTCCCTTCTTTTGCAGCCCCAGAGCGAAAAAAAAACGGGATGCCTTTCTCCTTTCATCTGTTTCTAAACACCAAGTCGCAAACGACACCTCCTCGGTGCCCGCAGAATAAAACAAACTCCGCCGTCCAACTAAAGCACATCCCAACCGGCATCGTCGTCAAGTCCCAGGCCACCCGATCCCGCAGCCAGAACCGCAAGCTCGCCCGAGAGATCCTCGCTCAGCGCATCGACGAGCTCACAAACGGCGACCACAGCCGCTCCGCCATCGTCGGCGCCGTCAAGAAGAAGAGGGCCGACAGCGCGGCCAAGAAGAGCCGCCGAAAGTATAGGCTGCTAGAAGAGGAGAAGGCGGCGGCGGCAGCGGCCGGTGCAGAGGCGGGAGAAGCAAGGGAGCCAGAAGCCGAAGCATCGGCGGCCGAAGTCGAACCCCCCGCCGCACAGAATAAATCGAGAGCGGCCATCGAACAGAGTACTAGCGACACAAGACAAGGCGCGGGTAGCCATCCCAGCGATACGGCGGCTGGCGGCAACTATCTGTCCGGGCAAGGGTCCCGTGGATCCTCGTGACATACAAGTGTCGTACAGAACTTGATATAGGGCCAAAAAAAGATGAACGATACCTCGCCTTTCCGCGAGCATAGATGGAACTCTACGAAGTGATATGACGATACTCTATCATTCTACGATAGCTTGGGATAGTAGACATCATCACGATGCTCCATTCGACATGGTAAGACCGGAAAGCGAATAAATATTTGTATCAACCTAAGCTTCTAGCCCCTAAGACTCGCGTTGCGCATCCAGCCCAGCTGCCATACACGAGCCGTTGTATCCCCATCGGAGAAAAGCCAACGCCCACCCCCTTGACCCTGTCAAAAACTTTTCGTAAATATGAGACTCGATCGCAACACGTGCGAAGCCACGGAGGCACTGCATGATTCGCCGCCTCCATGAGCTTGGCAAGAGTGATTGGCGAAGGATGTAAGGTATTGTCTTTGACCTCGCGTAGCTGCTGAACAACCAGGTAGTTAGCTTCTCGTCTCGCTCTTCCAGTCGTTATCTTTGAATTCTCACCTTAGAAGCACTTGCGGTGGACGATGGAGGGACCGCTCTCGTCGTACTCCTGCTTGGAGATCCACATCTGCTGGAAGGTGGACAGGGAGGCCAGAATGGAACCACCGATCCAGACAGAGTACTTTCGCTCGGGAGGAGCAATGATCTTGACCTTCATGGTAGAAGGAGCAAGAGCAGTGATCTCCTTCTGCATACGGTCGGAGAGACCGGGGTACATGGTGGTACCACCAGACTGGATGGGGAAATGCAATTAGCATCACGGGTCGGAACAATCGGAACAAACAGTATTGGGGGGAAAAAAAACATACCATGACAATGTTGCCGTAGAGGTCCTTTCGGACGTCGACGTCGCACTTCATGATGGAGTTGAAAGTGGTGACGTGGATACCACCGCTCTCAAGACCCAGGACAGAAGGCTGGAAGAGAGCCTCAGGAGCACGGAATCGCTCGTTGCCAATGGTGATGACCTGGCCGTCGGGAAGCTCGTAGGACTTCTCCAAGCTGGAGCTCTGGGCGGCGGTCTGGATCTCCTGCTCGAAGTCGAGGGCGACGTAGCAGAGCTTCTCCTTGATGTCACGGACGATTTCTCGCTCGGCGGTGGTGGAGAAGGTGTAACCACGCTCAGCCAGGATCTTCATCAGGTAGTCGGTAAGATCACGACCAGCCATGTCAACACGAGCAATGGCGTGAGGAAGAGCGAAACCCTCGTAGATGGGGACAACGTGGGTGACACCGTCACCGGAGTCGAGCACGATACCGGTGGTACGACCGGAAGCGTACAGGGACAGAACGGCCTGGATGGAGACATAGAAGGCGGGAGCGTTGAATGTCTCGAAGACGATCTGGGTCATCTTCTCACGGTTGGACTTGGGGTTGATGGGGGCCTCGGTGAGCAGGACGGGGTGCTCCTCGGGGGCAACACGCAGCTCATTGTAGAAGGTGTGGTGCCAGATCTTCTCCATGTCGTCCCAGTTGGTGACGACACCGTGCTCAATGGGGTATCTCAGCGTCAGGATACCACGCTTGGACTGAGCCTCATCACCGACGTAGGAGTCCTTCTGACCCATACCGATCATGATACTATGGCGATTTGGTCAGATCCAGCCCTATCCAGAATGCGGCCGAAAGTGGCATGGCCGACTCGCGAGTCTCTGGAGTTCAGGAAACTTACCCATGGTGACGGGGTCTGCCGACAATGGAGGCTGATGGCGTTGTTAGCAAAGTCCCATCACTGAGAGCACAACGTGCGGTGGCGGCGCAAAAAACGCCCAAGACACCCAAAGCGTATAGCTATGGCGTGGTAAGGGGAGCAGAAGTGGGGTACTCACGGAAAACAGCTCGGGGAGCGTCATCACCGGCGAAACCGGCCTTGCACATACCAGAGCTGCACTGGTGTCAGCTATTGGGATTCAGGAAATATCAAGAGAGCGCGGCGTGATGCAGTTGAGGATGCAAATGTGTCCCTTTGATCCCCGCGTGGCGTGGCGGCACCGGGCGCTGCCTCCTTGCCCGCAGAGCCAAAGGTCGACAAAGGGGAGAGTATCATGTCGGTGAGACAATGGCGGGGGAGGCGGGAAACCTTACCCATTGTCGATAACGAGGGCAGCAACTTCTTCTGTAGAGCATCAAGAGCAAATGTCAGCCAGGTTCTTTCATCCGCCAAAGGCATCTTCGTGATGCCTCGTTCCAATGGCCTCGGCACCCAGGGGGGGCAGGACGCGGTGCTCTCGAGGCGGCGACAGGTGCACGTACCCTCCATTGTGACTGATTAATGTATGAAGCTGATGAAAGACTTGAAGAGGGCGAAGATAGACAGAGACGAAGCTCGCGCGATCCCAGGATCTCGAGGGTTTTGGCTGGAAAGGGAGATAAAAAAGAGGTTGAAGTGAGGAAATATTAAGGTGACACGCAGTCGAAAGCTGGCGATTGGGGGGTGGGTGCTGTTGAAGAAGTAGAAAGAGTGGAGGGGGAGGAAAGGAGGGAAGTAAGTAACTCCGCTGCCACGATGGGCACAGTTGTGGGCGGGACAATTGCCTGGTGGGGCAGCCTGCTGGTGTGTGGGAGGCGGCGAACCAGGGCGAGACCGCCTTGGGTGATTTGGGGGGGGGGTTTGCTTCGCTCGGGGTACTCCGGGCCCGGCTCGAGGTACCGCTGCCGCATGCCTGCCTGTGCGAGGAACCTTGTCTGGGCCTCGGAGTACCGGGCACGGCCGTGCAGCAGGGGATGGCAGCCGCTGCCTGCCGCTTTAAGTGATTGGCTCACGGTGGTGGCTGTGGCTGGGGCTACCTGCGCAAGCAACCCCCAGCTCGAGTACCGGTACTCGCAGAGCAGCCACGAGACGAGGCGCTGGCGAAGTAGCCTCTACACGTGCGAGTATTCCTCACGACTTCTCCATCTCGACCTCCTTTAGGTCTCCTTTTAGGTCTCCTTAGGTCGCTACAGTAAGGTATCAAGGAATCGGCCAGTGGGGAGGGGGAGGGGCTGCACCGCCAGATCAACGCCATCGTCACCAAGCCCCCAGCTGTGGTCGGGAGCTGCAACCTTCTCCATTGCCTGTACATAAGCCCATCCACCGCCAGTTTGGTGCTTATTGGAAGCGGAAGCAGCTTCTGGGCTGGAGAGGATAAAGGCCGCCTGATTGCTCGTGGCCAGCAGGACTGACGTTGTGTGCGCACTGATGACACTGAGTCGGGCTAGTCGAGGCAGCAAGATAAGATTCCTTTCTTACTCCTGTCTCCAGATCTCGCTGGGTTGCTTCGTACGCGTCCCAATGCGTAATACGCACGCCACCAAGGCTGAGGCTCGGAGGGCCAAGTTTTGATGCCTCGTTTCGAAGTCTACCAATGTACGGACTTGTGTGAGACAAGGTTACCTCAGGACGCATGTAACTGCCTGGCTGCCTTGGTATAATATTGCAGAGTATGACGGGCCAGGAATGAATGAGAATTGATGGCCTGAGAGGGGCACTTTTGTGAGGCTCTCCCGAGTTGACGGAACCCCCTTCTGCTGTGGTTGATGACAGCCGGAGAAAAGGGGGTCCAAAGATATGTGGCTGGTAGTCTACCTACGTGCTGCGTATGTATGTACATGTAGAGATACTGTGGACTTCTCCCCGTTACGCAGCTGATGATTGCCGGCCGTTGTGTTTGCTGCCAGGAGGCAACATATGAAATCTCCCTGTTGGTAGCATGCCGAGGGGCTCTATGATGCTCTCCGAGCCTCTCCTGAAGGCTCTCAATTTCACGCGTACCCCGTGCTCAACACATTATGGGGTACTGCTAACAGGGTGTCGTTGTGAGACAACACCAGCTTTGCTTCATCTTGCGTTAGGCAGAGAGATTATTTCAATATATCTCGATCTCTCCGTTCACGGGCATGAAGTTGCAACCTCGAGAGGCAGCAGCATTTGAACCTTGCTTTAGGCATCTCGCATTCTAAATGCCCCAGATTCGAACCGCTCGACTACGCAGCGTAATTGACCCAGACGTGCCGGCGCGCACAGTCGGTGCTCGTAAGCAGCAACCCGCCAGAGTAGGCTCTGGTGACGGTCCTTTAGCCCCCTTTTTCATCCATCAAATTTCCCCAGCCAAGCTCGATTTTTGGCCACGCCAACACGTCGCTGTGCAGGAAGCGGAGGAGGGGGGACACGACAACCTCAGGCCGCGCCCGACTCGGCTAGCGCCAGTGCCGCCCTAAGCGATCCGGCACCTTCTGGCGAGGACGACGAGCCTCGTATCTTCCTTCCGAGGGTCACGTGAGCAATATCTGTAGATAAGTCGTTGCTGTGTGGCTTGACGCCTTGTAGGGTACCCATCAGACAGCGACGGCCATGACTGCCGTTAGCTTCACGAAGGCATGCAACTGTCTGCTTAGATCGAGGGCTGGCTCAAGATCCAGAGCTGCATGGCGTGGAAGTCTGCATACGACTGGTTTGAATGAACATGGAGACAATGCTAGGCGAGAAAGGCTGAGGCGTCGCTGAGACTGTCTCGGCCGCTGCATTGCGTGGTTCACAATGTAAGCCGTAATATCTCGTGTTGATGCGTGTAATCAAGTGAAGATACGCAGTGATACATTCAGCCTGGCAATCCGTGAGATTACAACGTTTGGAGCGTAGACTCTCGCTTTCTATTCTTCTGCCTGCTGTGTGTAACAGGTTGATGGTCATACAAATAGAGCCCCCCTGATGTCAGCCGAAACAAGGGTTGGCACTACGTCACTTGTCAAATTCCATAGAATCGGCAGCGTTGAGGAGCTCATACTGTCACTCCATTCAGTGCGTAAAGCACACAAATGGAATCGATCATCCCATGACGTTTTCAGAAAATCTTGCGGTGATGAAACTGAGGAAGCTATCGTAGTTTCGTGACAGGAACAGCTCCAGTCTGATGTATCAGGATGGTTCGAGTAAGGAAAAGAGAATAAAGGAACAAAGAGCACAACAGGTACTTTTGAGCTGCGAGATGAACAAGTGGGGTAGCTTCTGGAGCCTCAGTAAGGTAGGGATAGAGGCCAGCTGTGTTATGGAGTATCGGCCTCACTTCTGGAATCCAAAAAAGAAGCCCCCGATGCTTGGAAGAACAATTTCAAGTCATTTCCCATGCTCAATCTCCGGAGATTCCCCTTGCAAAAGTTTAATTACCTGGTGAAGCTGATAAACAAGCTCTGGCTTTTGCCCTGGCCAGGCAAGCCAGGCTCCTTGTAAGGCTAAGGCTGCAAAAAGCAACTGGACCTTGCCGGCATCACTTCCCCGCTACTCCTCTTACGGCCTAGGGCCTTCTTGAAGTTTCCAGAAACTGCATCACCATAAGCAAAAAACCTGAGGATTATTGAAGAGCTTTATATCAAACAGAACAAAATAGAGACAGCAGCTGTCTGTCTGTCCGTTCATCTTCATCAACATCCTCACTACGAAGACTACTCACAAACACTCTCGCTTCAGTAAATCGCAAAGATCTACAATCAAATCACACAACCATCATGGGTGACAAACGACTCAACGACCTCCTGCGATGGAGCATCGAACACATGGAGGCCGACTCGCCTGTAAACCAGCCCTCCAACGGATCCCGGCCGCCACCCACGACCAACCTGACCCCGGAGATTATGGAGGCCCTCATGGGCGGCCCCTCCGACGCCGAGCTGATGAAGGCCGCCATGGAGATCATCAACGACCCCGAGGTCAGCCTGGAGAACAAGCTCATCGCCTTTGACAACTTCGAGCAGCTCATCGAGAACCTCGACAACGCCAACAACATTGCCAACCTCGACCTCTGGACCCCGCTGCTCGACCAGCTGCGCCACGAGGAGAGCGAGATGCGCAAGATGGCCGCCTGGTGCGTCGGCACGGCCGTCCAGAACAACGCCCGCACGCAGGAGCGCCTGCTGGCCATGGGCGGGCTGCCCTCGCTGGTCGAGATGGCGCTCAAGAAAGAAGAGCCCGAAGATGTCCGGCGCAAGGCGATTTATGCGCTGAGCTCAGCCGTCAGGAATTACCAGCCTTCCATGGATGCCTGCACGGATGAGCTGAACAAGCGGGGATTTGCTGCTGCGTCCAAAGTCGACGCTGCCGATATGGATGCTGTTGACACCGTTATCCACGGTCTCAGAGAAAACGTCAAGAATACCGCTCCTGCAACGTCATCATAGAGCATAACGATCTATACGACAGAATAGATGTGGAAAAGGGATATTGTGTGGAGTTTCGGCGTTTGGCAGGCTTGAATGATTTCAACGGATACGGTCTCGCCATGTAGACCATGTGGATTTATCATGCTATACCATACATAGTATCTTACAGTCATGGTCGTTCTTATTTTTACGATACGCAATACACATGTTGTACACTTTATTTTTCTTTTTCTTTTTTTAGTCTTCCTCCGGGGCCCCTCCCACAGGGTATGACACCAACGCCCTGTTCATCAGTGCGTGACCTTGCCGTAGAATGGGAATCCCAGTGCTTCCATGAGCAGCCTGCCTTGTCTATCCGATGTCGCAGAGGTGTGGATGAAGATGTCGCAACCAGGCATCAGCTTAGGAGGATACATCTATTGCCAAGGGGTTAGCGTACGCTCACAACGGTGCTATTTCGTCTGTACTATACTCACATCGTAGTTGAACTCAATCTCGGGAAAATAAGCCATCCAGGCGGGCTGCATGCCAAACGCAATGTTGCCGGCGCTGTCGCCGCTGGTGGCCTTGATGCCCGGCCAGTCCTTGATCTTGGGCAGGACCAACGTCACCAGCTTATCAACAAAGTCGTAAGCCGCACCGCCGCGCAAAGTCGTCTTGGCACCGGCCTTGGATCCCTTGCGGACACCCCAGTGGATGACGTTGTGCTTCACGGTCGTCACCTCGGGGAACTGGCCGCTGATGGCTTGGACGACGGCTCGGGCGACGTGGAGATACTCCTTGTTGTCGGCCGCGAGAGGAGCGTATGAGTTGATAGTGACGGCCTCAATCTCGGGGATGTTGTTCCAAGTAATGTCCCGCTCTATTATCCCAAGTCTCGAGGAGCCTCCGCCTCTGGGTCCTCTGCTAGGTCGGTTCTTGTGGTATGGTGAGGACCCGTCCCATTGGCGCAGCAGTCCCTTCTGTGATTCGGGTGGTGTAGTTCCGGGAGGGATGTGTTTGTATGTGAGGGTCATGAGGTCTGGCGCAATGGTGCTGTCGTACGTGTGCTTCAACCGGGGAAAGCTAAATGGCCCAGGAACGAAGTCGCGAGCCGTCGGGTCGGATGAGGGCGGCGCCTGGATAGGATGCAGAGGGCCTCGATTATACTTGGGAGGGTGGTATTGGTATCTGGGGTTCGTGTCAGCGATGCCTCTCGTCTCCGAGCCTCCAGCGGCAGCACATACCGGTTGCCAGGCAGCCTTCGCTCTTTATGGTCCCGGCTGCGCGCCTCCTCGAAAGCTTTGACAATGTTCTGGTCGGGCTGCGGCGCCGTGAACGCGGACGTCGATTCGATGTCGGCAATGCCATCGTCTTTTACAGTGGCATTGTGCGCCGGCCTGGTAGAGGCAAATCCTCTGGCGCATAGCGGAGCAGATTGTTGCGCTGAAAGCCTTTGCCTCAAGGCTCGTGCTAGGCGAGCACCTTCTCGGGAGACGGCCATCTTCGGGCTTGAGCAGAGGCCGCAATGCTTCGTCCAAGGTTGAAGTTTCTCTCTTTACTACCCACCCACCATCTGCTATCTCGAGGCAATGGGATTTTTCCAATCGCTAGCTGCCGGTGCACTAGCCACAGACTAGCCCGACAGAGGCTGCGCCACATGATGGCTGTCTGTAAGGCATCGGCATAGGTGTGGCGGTGCCATATATTGGTTCGTCAGCATCAAACTCTATGCCCATCACTCCCGCCTCATCGCCAGAAAATTGGTGATCCCTGCTATGCTGTTGTGTAAGCTAATACCGCCAAGGTCCGCATCGAAGTATGAAATCCAGTCCGTAATAGCATGCGCTCCGTATGAGCCCATGTGAGCAGCAAATTATCATCAATAGCTCCTGAAACTAGCCTCTTCAGCCGCCTACTGCGCAATAACATTTCCTGTTTTTGACGAAGAGATGGATTCAACATGTCACGCCATTACAGTTGAAAACTGCTGACATTCTGCGCCTGCTGGTCCAGGTGCTCCTTGGACATTTGGTTTGTGCATGATGATATTGATCTTCGGCACGATGTTGGACATTGTACGATCAGTCGTCCTTTGTGCAATTCAACCACTATTCCAAGGTCTACCCACCTGTGTCCTTGATTTCACCATTGTAGTCTGACACATGTCTCGATCTTTCGCTGAGTTGGGAACAACAGCTGGAAGTTTCTACGATGCAATAAGCCACTCAACGCCCAAGCTCACAAGGTTCCGGTGGGTGTGGCTCGTGACTGGAATAAAAATAACCTTACTCTCTACCAGCCAGACCTTTCAAGGCCTCTCCTTGGCTAGTGCTGGTAGGTACTTTGTCCTCCTGTGATGTCTCTTCGTACGCCATGACCTCTACTAGGTAGTACCCGCCGCTTCACTCACAGCTAGAATGACCACTGAGCCTTCTGGCGGGTAACATGACTTCTATGTGGACATGGCTGAACGGAACATAAGGCCGCGTAGTAGGTGCCTGTACTTTGCCCGTACTCGTGCTACCACTACACTTGCGTAGGCTCTTGGGAGGGACCCAAGTTGCCTGCCTTGCATTCGTGGGAGAATTACGTAGGCATCTGTAGGCGAGGCACAAGTCTCTCGGCAAAAGTCAGTTTTGACAAGGCACGAGAACACCGGATTGGCAAAGGGCCGCTTTGGCGCCGCACAGGCTCGCCGCCAAGTCATTTTTGGCGTTGATCAAGGCAGCCACATTGACGGCGTTCGGATGTTTTCTGCTTGCTCGTCGACATGGCGTCTGAGCACCGGATGATTGGCGGTATTGACGCATGACATTATGGAGAGACGGAAGAGATCAACTGCGGATCCGTTCAGCTGCGATCCAAGGAGTGATCCGTCGGTGATGACTGCACCTATGTAGTACCTACCTACAGATCATGCATCGTCGAGGGATCTGCCTTGCCTTAAAGGTACCTAGGTACTGTAGGTACTGGACAGTATAAATCTCGCAGTATTACCACCGCGAGGGACCGCGGGCTGCTGCAGGGTGCCACCTCAGTGCAGTATCGCACCGCTGTAGCGCCGTTGGAGGTCCCCTACAGCCCACTACCAGCGTCCCTGGCTCGCCTGGGGTCCACCCAGTGTCCCGCCCCCGCCACTGTAACATCAGCCAACGCGAACCACTAACTTTCAATTTAGCACTCGCTTCCGCCAGGCCTTATCTGAGGCTGATGTGCACCTGCAACTACACCCGCCTCGAGAACCTTACCTTAACCTTACAAGCACCAGCCTGAAGTACGTCAATGTAACTGCGCAACGCAACCACCTTTGTCCTCCCCTCTCCCGTCTGGGAAGATCCGTCCGCTTCTCGAAAAGCCTCTCAACCTTAAGATTGTTCCATTCGCTGAAGCCGTCCCATTAGCCCTACACCCCTGCGACCCAGCATCTCGCCAGGAGCTGGACGAAACGGCGCGAACCCGACCGATCAGTCGATACCCTCGAAGCAGCTGTCGCGCCCAACACAGAAAGAAGGCGGAGGGTTACTTTTCAGGGCAGGAAGCCATTCGCAGCTCGAAGAAACATCGTCACCACACGGCCAACCCCGCAAGCGCCTCGCCGAGACTTGTCTCGCCCTATAATGGGGGCGTACCACCCGCCTCATCTCTCTCTCGGCGCCGCGAGAGTTTGATTCCCACCACTCTAGACTCCTTCTCGTCATCGGGCTGAATCTCCTGGAAAAGCGGACAGCCATGAAGGAATTCCCCAGGAAGTTCCTTAGCCTACGGGATAAGAGCGGCGAGCACCACCGTAGCAAGTCTGCTCCTCCCGCAAACAAGGTAATTCTACTCCTACCAACCCATCTATCTACTCATGCCCCCAATGCGCACAAGGCCTCCCATACAGACCCCTTCGTTGTTGAGCAATGTCCATCATCGAGCTTGCAATCGATTACTTGAAAACGCCCAAACCACCCAAACCTCCTGCTCCCAAGGCCGACACTCCTTGGTTTCACAATGTTAAACATCAATGGCAGGCCCGTCCCCTCTCAGCTGAGGCGTTCCGCGCCATCTTCAAACCCGATCATGCGAGACAGACTCACCTGAACGAGCTGGAAGCTGCGAGAGAAGCCTCCAAGGTAGGTTGGCGCCATCATCCCCGCCGCCTCGGCAAACAGTCGCTTTCAAGGGCTTCAAACAGAATGTTGACAATCGGCAGGTGGAGGACATTCAACGGAGCCTGGATCGGTTGGGCATTACGGACGTCACTGTCGAACATATTCGAGATATCTTGGCGACCAAATTCGCAAATGGAGACCCAGAGCGCACTGTCCAATTCATCGACATCGAGCAGAAGGCTTCCTCTGGTGTCATTATCCCCTATGATCCGAGCGTCCATATGGTTGGTGCCGAAAACCGCAGCGCCGTCACCTGTTACATCGATGCCCTTCTCTTTGCCATGTTCTCCAAGCTAGATGCTTTCGAGTGTATGCTCAAGAATGACTTCCCCGTAGACGATCCCAGGAATAAGCTGGTCACACTACTGCGCATCTGGGTCAACATGCTACGATCGGGCAAGCTGATACACACAGATCTGGTAAGTGGGATGGTACAGGGTCTCAAGAGTCGCAATGCATACTAACATGTCTGCCTAGACAAAGGTCATTCAAGATACAATGGCCGAATGTGGCTGGTCCGATGCTCGTCTTTTGGAACAGCAAGATACCTCGGAAGCCTTTGCTTTCCTCACCGAAAAGTTAGAATTGCCTCTGCTCTCACTACAAGTCGACCTGTACCACCAAGGCAAACAAGATAAAGACGACCACAAAATTGTTTACGAACGACTGTTGAATTTGGCCGTGCCCTCGGATCCTGACGGCAACGGCGTGAAGCTGGAAGACTGTCTAGAGGAGTATTTCAATACCCAAGTCGACGTGCTTAGAGACAGCGAGGAGGCAAAGAAGGCAGACCCAGACGCCACCAACCCAAGCTTGTCACCTAAATTATTGATCCCGGTCCAGATCCAGCTGGTGAGAGATGGGGAAACAAGCTCTACCCCTGCAGCCGTGACTTCATCTCCGCTCGAGATGTCGCCGGCGAAGCCCGTGGCAAATACCTTGGTGGAGAAAGACGAGGATCAGGATCGAGAAGAAGAGGCCGAGGTTGGTGAACAGGCGACGGGTGACGAAGAGGCGTTTCCGGCATTGGCTGTAGAAGAAAAGGCCAAGGCAGCAAAGAGCAAGAAGGAATATTTTGACGAAGGAGCCGCGGAGCAAGCCCATGACGTGAGTGCTCCGGCATCACAGCAGGTCAACGGGACGAGTCAAAGCAGCCCCCTCGGAGACGTTTCGCAATCCAACGCATCAGGCGATCAGTCAACAGCCTCTTCCTCCAACCCGCTCAGGAACAGGTCAGCCAGTGTCATCCAGCGAGTACTGCTTGACGATCAGGGCCGCCCGACCAGTTCTGAGAACATTGCACTGCGAAAAAGGACCAGTCTAAAGGGATCTACTGTCGTCAGGGCAGTGACTATACCCGCATGGCAGTTCTTCCGCCTGATCCGTACGTACCAAACAATCTAGTCGCTTTCTCTTTGCTAACATCGTACACAGCCTGGCACGCAGTCAAGAGCACCGAGCCGCAGAGTAACGTCGAGGTTGCAATGAACTTCGACCAGCGCCCCGTCGTAGGCATTTGTCTAAAGCGATATGCCATGACCGAGTCTGGCCGACCCCAGCGTCACAACACGTACATTGACATTCCGGAGAGCATGCGACTCCCTCATTTCATGCTTGCCGACGGGCCGCACATAGAGGAGGAGACAAACGGGCTAGCGACAGAGTACAAGCTTGTTCTGCAATCCGTCATCTGCCACAGAGGCGATTCTCTGCAAAGCGGTCACTACATTGCCTTTGCCAGGGTTGCCCCGAAGCTTCTGACGGATAACAGAAAGCATGCCATCGACCCGCCTCCAGATTACGAGGAAGCGCAATGGGTCAAGTTTGACGACCTCGAGATCGGCAATCGGGTCACGTTCGTCGAGGATATAAAGGAGTCCCTTAAGGTCGAGATGCCGTACCTACTGTTCTATCAGATCGTTCCCATGGTCGATCCTCCAGGTCCTTCTACAGACAGCACGGCGGGCGGTCCGCCGTCCTATGACGAGTCAAGAAGTAGCCTCGAGAGGATGCGCTCCGCACTTACCGATGACACGCCTACGAGCTCTACCCAAGGGCTGGTAACGCGCCCTGATCATGAAGCCACGGCTTCTACCCCGGCTCTTGCAACTCATTATGAACACAAGGCCTCGGCCTCTACTCAAGCGCTGGTGACACACCACGAACACCCACCGTCAGCTTCAACTGGTCGTCTTGGCCAAAGTAAGCCGCCTAGCATCCGATTGTCCGCAGAAGTCGAGCGCCCGTCCCGCAAGTGGCTGGAGGGTATCAGCATGAACTTCGGAGGCTCATCATACGGAGAGACGGCCATGTCGCGACGCCAGAGCTACGCCCTGACCGACTCCGCTGCTCAATCGCCGGCTATAACTCCTGACACCCAGTCGCCTGCCATGGCACCGGTCGATGAGCCACCATCCTCGCGACTCTCGCGTGCGGCATCGCGCTTCAACTTGGGGAAACAGAGTCGCCCGGCTAGTCAATCGGGCGAGGGTCGTATGAGTCTCAACTTGAGTCGCTTTGGCGGACTGATCAAGACGAGCAAAGAGCCGCTGCCGGAACCACCAGCTCTCAATATTTCATCGGCGAACTCAGCGGGACAGCGCAGCCCACAGCCCGGATCCCCTACGTCGCTCGAAAAGCAGCTACCACCCTCAGGCAACGAGACACATGACAGATCGGACAAGCCGGAAAAGCACGAAAAGACCGACAAGGTCGACAAAAGTGAAAAGCACAAGCACAAAAGGAAAAAGTCCAAGGAGAAGAACGAAAAGCAGAAGTCGGGGGATCAACCGGAGCGGGAGTGCGTGGTAATGTGATGCGGTCTTCAAGGTTGCAAAGGCATGGACTGTTTACAACCATGAGTTCGAAACGTACAACGGGATCGCAAGTGCCTTCCCCTGATTTGGATACATGCATTTACAGAAGCCGGCATCTATAATACTGCTTGCTGGAGGCGTCGTCAAGTGGGCAAAGGATCAGAGAGAGCGCATAATGTGGCGAGAGAGATACCACAGCATTGTTCAAGTTTGAAGTCTTCAAGTCGTCGTTGCTGGGGCAAGATCAACCAGAGGAAGAAAAAGAGACAGAAAGACAACATGGCAAGTCAGAGTCTGTATACATAGAGAGATACCACGGCGTTCATGGGGCGGGAAGCTTTGCTGCTGAGCGAATAATGCAGTGTGGCTTCAAAGCGGGTGGGTTGCAATCAGTCAGTTCCTGATAATACAAATTCAAAGTAATGGCTCGTTTTTTTTGGCATGCGAATGCACTCTTCTTCTTCAATCATCAATATGCGTGTTAGGGGATTTTTTTTTCGTGAAAAGACACCGTAGAAGCTTTCGTTAAAAATCACATTACCATTCAAGCTTTCGTTATTTCTCTATCTCTCTTGTACAAGCCCGGGTTGTTGAAAAGAAACCTCAAGTAGCAAAGACATTGCTATACTTTGAACTCCAGTCCTTTTCCATCCCTTTCCTCTCCCTCCCTTTTTTTGTTTGCGTTTTTTTGTTTTCGGTTTCCATTCGGCGGCACAACCACCCTTCCCTCTCCAATCCAAAATTTGACGAAAGGGCCACCAGGCCACAGGATGCATCCCCATCGCGCGATTCTCCGGACAAATATTTTAATATACACAAGGAGAGTGGAAATGCATATGCGAAGAATGCAAAAGTTGCATTCAGGACACAAGAGTATTTCCATTCCCTCCAAAGACTTGAGAGAGAGAGCCACCGGTCGTTTGCCCCTTTATCCCCCGTCTGGGATAATCCCCTAGGGCTTCACAGTCCATTGAAAAGGGAAGGGAACTTGTCCATAAATCCTTTTCTTTGATCTTTTTCATTTTTTTTATTCTTTCATTGCTTCCGATTCTCCCACATACGGAGAAATCAGGAAACGATATCGTCATCAGGTAAGAGCGGTGTTCTTTTTCCTCGTGCTAATCAGACAAGTCGTGTTTGAGACGGCGAGATAATTCAACCCGCCCTATAGTGGCCAGCGGTCCTACTACATTAGTTGTACTTCAACCAAGTCGTCGTTGGGGAATCTGCGCTGCGGTGGGCTTCTCCAGTCGTTGTGTGTTTAGAAGGGGATGTTGGGGGGAGTCTGGCTGCCGAGAGCTTCCTGCTGATCCTGAAGCTCCTCGGGAGCAGCCTCAATGGAGACACCGAGGCCGAGCTTGGCTTGTTGCTAATCACAAGATGTAAGCCTCTTTTCGAGTTGATATCTGCAGCGTCAGGATTCACATACCGTAAAGTGGTCGATATCGGCAGCAAAGGTCATCATGACGGGAGGGGCCACGCGCTTCTCCAGGAGGCAGCTCAGCTTGCCCTTGGAGTCGACCTGGGCTCGGAAAGTAGACATGCGGAAATCGTACTTGGCGCCAATGGTGGTGACGCCCTCCTTCTGCAGACCACCGCCCATCAGGCCGCCGGGAGAGGGAACAAGACCGAGGCTCAGATCAACACCAGCCTGGACCTTGTCGGACAGCTTGCGCCAGTACGAGGCATTGACAGTGCCCATAGCGGCCTGCAATTGAGCGGTGGCGACCCAGTCGGATGTCTTGTAGCGAGCACAGTAGGAGACGGCACATTCGGGACCCTGGGTCAGAGCAGGGCGCTGCCAGAGGGTTTCCAGACCGAGAGCGAGCTTGGGAGTGATGGACTGCAGGTAGCTTCCGATGTAGATGCCGGTCACGCCGCCTTCGAGGAAAGAGGGGTTGAGCATCTTGAGAGACGCACTGAAGTCATCGCCGGTATACTCGTGCTCGAACTGGGCCATGTCTTGGCCGCCGGGGGAGATGGAGAGCTGGGACTTGGAGACGAGCTTGTCGGTCCATCGGTAGTTGAAGCGTCCGGAGAGGGAGCCTTCATTGTCGACGTTGCCTTGGCAGAAGACCTAGTGTCGCGCTCGCGGTTAGGATACCATCCCCGATTTTGCCGTGGCTTGCCGCTGGCTGCGAGTGCAAATGCAATGCTATGCGCTGGGGCTGCTTACCTTGCCGGTGCCGTACATGGCGGCAAAGGTGTACGGGTTGATGCGTTCGCCCATTGCAAACTGGTGGGAGACCTGGAACAGCGGCGCCATGCTGAAGATCTTTGTGAGGTCGGCGCGGATGCCAGTGAACATGTAGTTGTTGAGGAAGACATCGCGCTGGACTTCCTTGGACAGGTTCTCTATTGTGCCGGGGTTGGACAGGCCCAGCTTTGCCCTCCGCTCGGAGAAGTAGTTGACGGCATCTCCTATTGTCGCGGCGACGGGGTTGGAGAAGAGCAGAGACCGCAATGTGTCGACGGGAGTGGCCATGATGCCGGTGTGTTGTGTGTGGCGGCTCTTAGAGCCGAGCCGACGAGGAGTAAGAGACTGGACGTTTGGTGCAGGAGGAGAAGGGATCCGGGAGGTCGATTCGCAAGTCGCAAGGCTGCGGTCAAAGGGGATCGCAGTCTATGATCGCTGTTCAGCCTCAGGCAAGCCTCGGTCGCAAGAGTGTTGGCGCTGCCGCAGTGGTCGAGAGCTCCGAAGGCGGCTGAGATGGGATGGAGAGGCGTTGAGAATAATTTTCAGAGACGACCCAGTTTGCCAGTCGGTAGCCTGCGGGAGCTGCACGAGCCACAGTTTGTGACGCCGCCTGGCTTGGCTTGGTCTCTTGCAGGCCCTTTTTTTTTCTCTTGCGGGAGCGGATGATGCAATAATCCGGCCCGGTGGCTGTGGAGCACGTGGCTTGCTCGTCTTGAGGTACTTTCGCAGTACCTGTGTGAGCATCCTCCTAGCCCCCCTTTGAGGTTGGGATTGGCGTGATGGCAGGTGTGGAAATGATCTCTCTAGAAACTGCTATATAATTGCGCATCTTGGTTTGATATTTAGCATAAGCAATGCCGCGTCAATGGCCATGCTATCAAGAGGCAGTCATGATGAAAGAAGTACCTCACCTATAGGTACCTTCGCAAGCGAATGGCGGGGCAATCGGGAATCTGGTTATGTCATCCGCCGAGTGACGTACGTTACCGCGGCCCTCCAAAGTCCTTGCAGGTACCTCCGTAAGTGCCCGTAGCGCCCCCCTTGCATGCATTGAAGCGGCCTCTTCATTTTGCATCCGTCAAGCCAGCATTACCTACCTAGTATTACCTGTTAAGACTCCGTACCCTACAACCGAACATATCCGTCCCTGCGGCTCGCTCAAGCACAGCAACGCCGCTGCAACCCTCTTCCGCGGCATCTGGGCGGCTTCATCGATATCGCGATCCTGCATTCTTACAGATACGGCCTGGACCTATCGTCCTACCTAGGGCTCAGGCTATCTTTCTCAGCGGCCGAGCATCTCTTTGTCTGTCTGAGGATCCCTGCTGTGTCATCATTCAGCGGAAGCGGGGCGCGAGGCTGAAATCAGTCGGAAAGCATCTCGCACATCACACCGCATAAACAGTCTGAGATTTCTCTCAGCTTTTGATCAATATTCGTCATTTCAGGAAATTCAGCCCTGCTCAAGGCTAATCATACTCGACCCTCATACACGCGGATCTTCCAGGACTATAGACATATTGGCCTGCCAGAATATCTGAAGCTACAGATACCAGTCTCGAAAGAGCCTACGCAGGCTCCGAGCATCTTACCCGACTACTGGCCTCACCTTGAGAAGTTAATACGAAGAGGCGAAATGGATACCTTATTGTGAGTGAGACGTCTCATACGTTCTGCTTAGCATGTGCAAGAAGAGCCGAACCTGCGACATCACCATCGTGAAAGCCCTTCAAGCATCTCACGCCTCCTAGCCCACTCACTTCTCCTATTCAACCCCTGCCCCCCTGACCCATCCAGCCTTGACCACATCGTGCTTGTCCGCTACATGCGACCTTGGAAGCCCGTTGTCCGCCTGTCCGCTCCCATCTTGCGCACAATTTTATCTCAACGCAAAATGGAAAGCAAACTGACCGACTCGCAATCTAGAACGGCTGAGATTGCGGCAAACGCTCCCCGGTACCGCCGGAGGAGCTCAACCTTCATCGACAGCATCCACGATGTGTCGGAAGATCACGACATGGCGCCGGCCCAGCTCTACAGTACCATGTCTGGGCGGCTGTTTCACTCTGGCCGCATCGCCATTGTCATGGTTGGGCCACCGGCTCGAGGCAAGACGTAAGTAATCAAAGTATTCTGGATTTTCTTGTAACTTGTCCGGAGTCTGACAATTGCCAGGCATATCTGTGTATCCATGGCACGCTATCTTCAGTGGCTCGGTGTCAAGACTCGGATTTTCCACTTGGGAGACTACCGGCGGGCAACCATTGGTCCTGAAGGCACCCTCCCCGACGACTACTTCTTCCCGGATGCATCCCCTTCATCTGTCATCCTTCGCCAGAAGATACTCAAGAAATGCCGTGAAGACATCTACGCCTGGCTGAACCACGAAAACGGCCAAGTCGCCATCTATGACGCGGTAAACCCGACGGCGAGTGGAAGACGATCTCTTGCCAAGGAATTTGGAAAGCACGACGTCCAGGTAAGGGCCCATAGCTGCTTGAGATTCTCCTTCCAACTCTCCTCCCCTTTGTGCCTTTCGAAACTGACCGTTCTACAGACCTTATTCATCGAATCGTATGTGGATAATGAGCAAATCTTGCATGACAATGCCATCAATGTCAAAATTTCCTCGCCCGATGTAAGTTCTCGAAGCGCTCAAAACGCTCCTGCATCATCCTGATTGTGACTATAGTTTGCCGGAATGGATCGCGAGACAGCAGCGAAAATGTACTTGAAAAGGATAGAGATGAGAATCCCTGTCTTTGAGACCATGGACGAACCGGAACTCAACTACATCAAGATGATCAACGCCGGCCAAAAGTTTTTTTACAACAATCTCAGCTTCAACTACCTCTCTCACCGAATTGTCTTCTATCTCACAAACCTCCACATCAAGTCCCGGACCACTTTCTTTGCCCGTGCGGGCACAACAGCGGAGGAAGACTCGTATAAAGCAGATGCCGAACTCTCGGAGGAGGGCAGACATTACGCCAAAATGATGTCCGAGACGCTGCTCAAACATCGCGAACAAGAGAGGCTGGAGCAAATTGCCAAGGGCAAGCCCGATGAACCCCTGCGACCGCTTTCCATTTGGACCTCCACTCGACTTCGCACGATTCAAACAGCCGACTACCTCAAAGAAAAGGGCTACAAGGTTCGACAGCGCTCTCAAATGAGCCAGATCAACCCCGGCGTCTGCGAGAAGATGTCAGAGCGAGTAATCAGGCAGATATACCCTGAAGAGGTTGAAAAGCATGCACTCGATCCCTATCACCATCGATATCCCCGTGCTGAGGTAAGTGACATATACGCCGAGTCGCTTTCGTTGCAATGACTGATGGCTAACTCGACCTTCTACTGTGCAGTCCTATCACGACCTTGCTGTCCGACTCGAGCCCATTATCTTGGAATTGGAGCGAGAACAGAGTGACTTGCTGATCATCGCCCACGAGTCTGTTCTTCGCGTGCTGTTCGCCTACCTGATGCACTGCTCCACCATGGATATCCCTAGTCTCAAGTTCCCCCGTGATGAGATTATCGAAATCATTCCGGCGGCCTACCAAAACGAAGCCAGGCGTATCCGCATCCCCGGTTTGGACCCTAAGATGCTGTCTGCTTCTCCCGACGACATTAGGGTGCCAGGAAGCCGACCCATGAGCAGGCCCGAGAGCGGCCAGATGAGCCCAATTCCTGGCGGCATAGGTAGCCCGGCTGAGCCGCTGGAGAGGTCGACGGAGAGGGTGATCAATACTTCCAAGGACCTGGTCGCGGACAAAATTCACGATGAGATTTGAACAGGACGATGGACAACGAAGTCGCAGCGCTGACAACCTGGTTGCTTGCTGATGAGTGGAAGGGATTGGCGGAGGCTGAAGCTGTGGCAGGATTCTTTCATTGTTCGCCATCTGGGTCGCGCACAACAGTAACATGATGCTTCTGGTAAACAATTGGGCGGCCATGTCAGATACGTGACGGGAATAGATGCAGCCGAGACTGCAAGCAAGGCATGCCCAATGGAAGCTCCCCGAACGGGCCGACCCTCCCGCTCCTTTGGGTAGACATCATTTGAGATGTCTCTGTTTGCCCCAAGCAAATGAGCCAAGAGCCTACCATTGCTGTGGGAAAGGGGGGAACTTTTTCGGCTGCCGCTGCCACATGACTTGGATGACTGAGAGATATGGGAGCCACTCTCACTGAATGCTGCCCGAAACTTTCAAAACTTCTCCAAGATGGAGTCGACTTAACGAAGCCAGGCATATGAAAGGGTTGGGCGCCTATATAGGCATGTTTTTGGTTCGTTTTCGGTCAAGTGAAGTCGTGTGTTGGCATGAGGATTCTTGGGAGGATATCGTCCATTGCTGCTAGTTCAAGAATGCTAAGCAAGTGTGAGCTCGACGGGATGGTTGGTATTGACAGATATTCATCACCTTCCAGTTCCCTGTTACCCCTGGCACCTTGCCATGAGCAGTTTGTATGTCGTTATCAGTAGCTCTCACATTCCTTCGTCTTCAATGGACTGCAGCACTACTACCTACCTAGTCAAAACACTCGCTTCAGGCATATAAAATAGAGACATCGTATCTGCAGCTCCCCTCTCCCACCCAACACAACCAGATGTGTCCATGTACGCTACAGACGGGCTGGACTTTCAGCTCGTCTTGTGTAGTTCCTTAACCGGCACTACGGATCTGGGGGGGAACCGGAGAGGAGCATGTGATAAGAAGCAAAGGAGAGGGGGAGGGAGGTGAAGCTATCTTGTTTCGGGCGACTGCGGCTGTGGGTTGCAGTCGAGATGGAGTGGATAAGAAAACGGATGTGACATCCGAGGGGGGGTTTTCAAAGGATTCAACCAAGACACAGCAAAAACTGTGCGGAGCTTGGGGAGGAGAGTAGGAGGTTCAGGCCGGGCTCTTTTCTTAGTTCTTGTCCTGTTGGGGGAGGGAGGATTGTTGTGGCCTTTGGATGGGAGATGACGTCCTTCTATGGAACTCGCTCGACGCTGTGCTGATGATGATGATGACCTAGCAAGAATGTCACCATTTGTTTGTTTGTTTGTTTTCCATTATATCGTGGCTACGGTGAAGCATCTTGTCCCAGATTCGTTTCCCTCTGTCGCCTCAATACCGTCCAGCTTCACTTCCACCGGCACATGTCTCTTGCTCGAAGAATCTAGCTCTAGCTACCCCAACTCTTTTGAGTTTTACGTGCCCATGATAAATTACTGGTGCTGGAAATGGCCATGTGCAGAATTTCTCATGTATATATATATATATATATGTATATCATATAGAGGTTGAGCCACCATCAATGACGGGATAGCGATATACTTCTCGGTATTCATAAGTACTAAGATACAGACGGGACCTCAGCAACAGAGCATGAGCGACTACGACCGCAGAGGCCAAAAAAACGAACAAGACAATAATATTTCTCGTCCAAACAAGCAAAACAAGAGAAAGGGCTGCCAGCAAGCAGTAAATACAAGGACCAGAACAATGGCCACCCTCTCGTGCGTACGCCGCATTCTCCAATTATCTGAAGTGCCAATGATAAGAGCCGTTATTACTACTGACTATTCACTGATGCCGCATCTCGCTGCATTGTTGTAGCTGTTGATACATACAGTCCGTCTAACCCTGCCTGAGAAGCTTTGGCCAGTGAAGAGTGATCGGAAAGAGGTATCTTTTTTTGTGAGAATTGATTACGAAAGGGCTGGGTTGAAATGATACATGAACGTTTTCAAATGCAGTATCGGACTCATGAAGACGAGCTTCTGTTCCCTTCGTCTTTGGTTCTCTCAGCCTTGCCTTATAAAGCCTCGCTTGTAAGTTACTGTTGGTTGCTAGTCAAGATGCCATTCGTAAGTGTTAAACACACACAAAGAGAGTAGTTCATCACTGTATGAAACAGGCAAAGCAAAACACTTGCTGATTCATAACAGCGATATACCTGGCTTCCACCTCATGAGCAACGGCGCAGCATCATTAGCGAAATGCTTCCTACCTACCTGTCTACCTACTACCTTCATCCAACAAATCACGATCAAAACATAGCACTTCCTCATACGCACAGACCGACAAAATCAAGCTTCTTCATCCAAATGTCGCACCACATGAGAATAGAACCCCGGCCTACTCATGCACCTCGCTTCACAGTCTAGTCAGCAATTCATTGGACGTGTTGGACTCTCTCGTTTTTATTTTTTCCTGGAAAAAAGGGGTGGTGGGCGAGCTGCCGTCGATGGTCTCGTGGCCCTTTTTGGTGCGGGGGAAAAGCCCTGCAGGTGTAAATGGGAGGAGAACGGCAGACAGAGGCTTGAGTGACACCTGGGAATTGCTGTGAGATGGGACGTGTCAAGTTGCAGATGGGGAGGTTTGTTCAGGGTAGGTAGGTACCTTGGGGTGATGCGGTATAGTATAGGAGATGGCTATATATGGGTTCTAGATAGGTTGGGACGACAGACTTGATGATAAATTGCCACATACTTGGCATTATATATATGTCCTGATTAAGATATGGCTATAGATCTCAAGATTTTTGTAGTTGGATGATGCTCTGGGTGTTCGAAAAGTGTCATGTTTGAAGGCTGTATTGAGACTTCTCTATCTCTCTTGCTGCCCCGAACCCTAGATGATCACAACAACATCTCATCGAGGTCTCAGCACATTCCAAGCAGGGCTGAGAGAGAGAGAAGAGTCAATATAACTTGATAACAATTGTCAGATCAACAATGTCAAGGAGGAATCAAAGACTCAACCCACACACTCTACCTCTCCTCTGACACGAACAATACCGTTGAGCAGAGCTCTTATTAATATATCGACACCAGTATCTTCACAACACTGCAGCGCAATCGCAAACTACAGGCTCATTCGGGTAGGCTACCTATTACCTTGACTCCCCCCTCGGCTCCATAGACATTTGATGTCGACTCTACTGAGCAAAATCACACATTCTCTAGACAGCGTAGCAGTGCACGCTCAATACGAGGTCTCCTTCTCATAGCGCAGTCGGGGTCTCTTCAACCGCTTTGCATCTTCCATAATGAGGCTGAGGTGTCTATCTCGCATTGCCTCCTACCATGGGCAGGCTTGCTCATCATCATTACATCTCAACTGCAGGCGCTCCAGAAGATTTGTCGTAAACCAGCAGAGCACACAGATTCGCAGTCCATGAAGTACTAATCTGGCGATCCAGGATCAAGCAAACGACAAGGTCAAACTTGAAAACCTCAGTCGCCATGGACCAAGACATTCGCTGGCTGCAGTGGTACTAGTAGTACTAGCAAAGGTCAGTCGCACAAGCCGCATCGTCCTCTTCGTCCAAGACAGCCAGATGCACAGCTCTCCAAATCTGGCCTGGCGCATGTGCAACAGCAACAATGCAGAGGCATCATCATCCCATGGCCCAGCCGGTGCTACATCCGCCGCGCCCCTTCTATCACAGAACAAGCTCGGAGCGAACAGCACAGGGCGCCACGTTGCAGCTCGGCCAATTGACAATGGCCATTGGCTGCCGCGTCCTCCATCTGTAGGGAGGACATTGGACAGCCCGATTGAGACGGGTCATGCTCATGCTCATGCTCTCATGACAAAGCCCATTACATATTGGGGAGCCTGTAGGAACAGGACAAGGGCAGATAGATGACCGGCGACTCCACAAGCGTACGTCTGTACTCCTGTCTCGTTATGCGCGTCGATGGATATCGTCGCCGGGAGAGGAAGCAAAGCTCAGCACCCTAGCGTTGCATGATCTGGGTCATGAGACCTTGTGACAGGAGAGCAAGACGACGCAGGTCGAACGAGAGAAGCCCAAGTGGCCAGCCTGCGGCCTCAGACAACTTCATTTGCTTCCGATGCAGAGAGATAGACCCCTTACTTGCGGAGAGAGAGGCACAGCAGCAGCTGGTGAGCTGGGCCAGGCTGGGCTGGACCCGGCTGACAAAAGGGGCTGCCGCTGTCTCAGAGACGGCCAATGCAGTGGTTTGATGGTCCTCGAAGCATCCGGCGGGCTCACTGGGACGCGGCCAGACGGCGGACTAGCCGCTGCTACTAGTTTTCGCCGGCTGTGTGTCTCGCCCAGATGACTTCCAGCATGACGTTGAGCCCCAATGTGACCAAGACGAAAAGGACCCAGCTCGGAGCAGGGGTGGCGCCCTTGACGGCTGGTGTTCGAGCCTTGCTACCCGTACTCGTACATACATACTGTACGTGGGCCCTTTTTCGCCGCATCAGCACATGCAGAGACGACGCCGACCTGTGCGCTTTTCCGCAGCCCGTCATGGCAATTGGTGGTCGGGCCTTTGACGCACGCAAGGGGGGATCTCGGGAGGCGTCATTTAATCTCTCAGGGCTCTCACATCTCGGACCGCACACTTGTGAGACCCTGTGCCTTCGACAAACGGAGCATCCCCAGCTCCCCTACCCAAGCTTGAGCAAGTCGAGCCCACAGAATACCCCGTAGAGGCTGGAGCTAACGAGCCCCGTCGCCAGAGCAGACGAAAAGACAAAAACTGGAGAAGAGCTTCCGGAGAGCGAATCCCAGGCCCAGCAGCCTCTCCATAGTTGGATCTGGTTATTGTCCTCTAAGTGGTGCCGGCATCAAGCCGTTGGAGACAAAATCACTGATCGACCTCCCAATGGCAGGACTTGGGAAGGGGGAGGGGCAAGGAGGGGCCGGATGCTGCATCTTGGTGAGGGGAATGGATGGAATGTGAGCAGGCTAGCATGCTAGCAGAGCACACAAAAACCCTTTCGTTTCATACACGATCAAGCTAGAGGCCACCGAGAACTGG